GCAGCACATTTAACAATGTAATGTAAATTCCTAGTCCTTGAAAGTTTTTGTTTTGGGGTTTTTTTTTGTTTTTTGTTTTTTCGAGACAGGGTTTCTCTGTATTGTTTTGGAGGCTGTCCTGGAACTTGCTCTGTAGACCAGGCTGGCCTCGAACTCATAGAGATCCGCCTGCCTCTGCCTCCCAAGTGCTGGGATTAAATGCGTGCGCCACCAACGCCCGGCTCTTGAAAGTTATTATTACAAATTATTTAGGATAATAAAGAAATGAGGGTTAGTAGTTAGTCACCTATAACAATCAAACTTACAGCATGTTAAATATGCTTTCAAGGTCAGAGACATATTTTAGATATATGGTCTTGAAACACTTCAAAGACCTACAGAATATTGCCTTTAAAATGTTATAGTTACATAAGGCTTTTCTTGATAGTGAGACACATCTGCTCCTGGCAGCATCAATTTACTTCAAAAACAGATGAGGGGCATCAAAGAACCTTCATATAGAGTTTGCTTTCTTTGTGGCAAAAGCTAGCCATTTGGACAAGAAACTGCCCTTGCCTCAACTGACAACAGTATTCTGTCCAAACTGGACGAATAGGACACAAAAGAAAGCGACTGTCAAAGTTTGCCATGACAAAGTAGTACAGTCCTTCAAAGTTCCTCCTTTACAGAAAAGTCTGTCAGATATTCTAGGCACATAGGCTGAAGATGGATGCCCTGATGCTGCAGAGAAACCTTGGGGTAACTGTCCAGGCATTCAGATGTCTCTGTCCTTTCCATAGTTTTGCGAGTTGCTTGCTTCACACTTCCTGTTTACTCAAGTAACATTTTATCCTTCTTGGATCTCTGATGGAGATGAAGACTAGATATAGTTTTCCTTATTACCAAATTCAGAAAAGACTTTCATACAAGAGATGTTTTATAAGGTTGAGAAGCATAAAAGCTTAAGTTGTTTATCTAAAAGGATGTTTTAAGATCTAAAAAGGTATTTCTAGGATGTTAATACAAAATTATGACAAAAATATCTTAGATCTAAAACTTTGTACTAAGATAGGATAGATAATTAGATAATGGATTATTTTCTCTAAACTTGCCAAATGAACTGGATATTGTAAAAGTAATTCTTACCTCAGAGGTTTTTTTTTTTTTTTTTTGGTTTTTCGAGACAGGGTTTCTCTGTATTGTTTTGGAGGCTGTCCTGGAACTCACTCTGTAGACCAGGCTGGCCTTGAACTCACCTGCCTCTGCCTCCCAGTGCTGGGATTAAAGGCATGTGCCATCAATGCCCAGCAAGACCTTTTTTATTTAGACAAAAACGGGAAAATGTTGTGGAGTATTCCTTTATACTATGTGAAAATGTGTCACTGTGATTGGTTTAATAAAAAGCTAAACAGGGGGCTGGAGAGATGGCTCAGTGGTTAAGAGCATTGACTGTTCTTCCAGAGTTCCTGAGTTCAATTCCCAGCAACCACATGGTGGCTCACAACCACCGTGAATGAGATCTGGTGCCCTCTGTTGGCACGCAGAAGATTGTATACATAATAAATAAAATATCAAAAAAAAAAAGCTAAATATCCAGGAGGCTTATCAGGGACTTCTGGACAGAGAGAGCTCTGGGAAGAAGGCAAGCAGAATCCCAGCCAGAAAGAGAGTAAGCAGGATGGGGAGAACAGAGCAAAGGTAACCAAGTCACATAAAAGAACATAGATTGCCGGGCGTTGGTGGTGCACCCCTTTAATCCCAGCACTCGGGAGGCAGAGGCAGGTGGATCTCTGTGAGTTCAAAGAGCAGCCTGGTCTAAAAAGCAAGTTCGAGGACAGCCTCCAAAACAATAGAGACACCCTGTCTCAAAAAACCAAAAAAAAAAAAAAAAAAAAAAAGAACATAGATGAAAACATATGGGTTAATTTAAGTTATAAGAGCTAGTTAGAAACTCAGCTAAGGCTGAGTTTCATAATTAATAATAAGTCTCCATGTATTTTTTTGTGAGCTGGCAGCCCAGAGAAAAATCTGGATACAATTATGTATTATCTGTTTTTGTGCTATGTAGTTAGAGCTCAGTTGTTTATCTCACATCAAGTTCCTGCCTTCTACAGAAAGTTTGCCTTGACCTCATTCTCTGAGGAGCTGTCAACTGTGAAAGGTATCACAAAGAGCCAGGCATAGTCAGAGGGCAAGGTGCCTAGCTGACTCAGGACTGCCCTAGGAGGGAATTACTAATGATGTTCAGAACAAGTCCAGGCTGGGAATAGAAACCCCAGAGTTGTCATTTTGAAGATTATTATTTGGAAGACGAATTTTAGATGGAGACTTTTTGAATGAGCCCTGCGGCAGACCAGTATTCATGGGTCAAGAAGAGAATCTAGGGAGATCCAGAAGGAGACGCCTATAAAATTAGAAAAAAAATTGAATGCCTTTCCTAGAAGCCAAGGGAAGAACATTTCAGGGAGGGAATGACCAACTGGGACATACAGATGTCACTGTAGGGGGCTGGTTGGGACATACTATGGCTACACACAGATGCTCAAGTCTGTAAGTTTAGGGAAACAAGCTGTCCAGGTACATGTGCATTCACACATGTGTATCCACTCCACATACACATTGTCTTCCTTTGGGGCCTCAGAAGAGTTGGGATTAGAGTCAGCATCGAGGTTCAGAGAAAAGGTTTGGAAACAGGAACTTGATTTTTGACAAAACCTTTTTGGTAGAATTACAGAACATGAGCTGGACTGGAGACATGGCCTCAAAGGCTATGGCTTACAACCAAAAAACGTCAAGAGTTCTGTTCACAGACCATGAATAATGGTTGATTAGAACTCGTACAAGGAGGGGGGGAAAACTCAGAGAGGGCTAGTATCAACATTTTTCATGAATTTTGCTGAGAAGTGACAGAAATGAGTGAACCAGAGATGGATGTAGATCCCCAAACAGGGGCTCTGGGTTAACATGGGAGAAACTCTAACATTTCTGCATAGGGGCAGTGGAAAGAGAAGACTGATAATGTAGGCAGGAGACATCCCAGACATTGCTGAGCTGACAAGCTTATGTGGCACCTGGAGCAGTAAGGAGAGCTGATCTCTCCAGTGCAGTCTCCTGTCCTCAGGAGACAATGCTTGCCTCTAAACATAAAAGCAGGCTGACAGACCAAATTCTTCTGGTGGCTTCCACTTCCTTGGTGAAATGGGAAGCTGCGAGAGACTCCGGGAAGGAGACTGGAAAGGAGTGAAAGGGTTCCCCAGAAGAGTGGCCGGGCAAGGGGTTCGTTTTCGTACCTCTTGTAGAAGCTTCTTGGTGCTCAACAGTTTGGGTATACTGGCAGGTTCAGAGCACACTGCTGGTTCAGATTTGGAATAATCCAGACGTCTCTGAGAACAGTCCCTATGGAGGTCTCCTAACTGGTTTCTTGGAATTCTACCTGTTTTGAGCCATTTTCCTGTAAAACCAGTGTGGTCATGGCAGGCATACCTTCTCTTTAACTTCAGTGCAGACAGAAAAAAGGGGTAAATTGCTTCTAAGGAAGGTGTACAAGTCTGACTTTCCGTGGAAACCCTTGTGCTGTGTTTGTGGTGAAGGGTATTAAAACCCACATTGATTTATAGTCCCTTCCTTCCTTCCTTCCTTCCTTCCTTCCTTCCTTCCATCCATCCTTCCTTGGTTTTTCAAGACAGGTTTTCTCTGTAGATTTTGGAGGCTGTCCTGGAACTCTCTTTGAAAACCAGGTTGGTCTCGAACTCACAGAGATCCGCCTGCCTCTGTCTCTCGAATGCTGGGATTAAAGACTTGAGTCACCACTGCCAGGCTTGATTTATATATTTTTTTTTTTTGCTTTTTCGAGACAGGGTTTCTCTGTATTGTTTTGGAGGCTGTCCTGGAACTTGCTCTGTAGACCAGGCTGGCCTCGAACTCACAGAGTCTGCCTGCCTCTGCTGGGATTAAAGGCGTGTGCCACCAACGCCTGATGATTTATACACTCTTCAAAACACAAAACGCTGCGGTTCTCAACCCATGGGTCGCGACCCCTTGAGGGTCCAAGGACCACGGGTGTCACCTAAGACCATCCATTAGAAAACAGATATTTACATTACGATTCATAACATTAGCAAGCTTGCAGTTATGAAGTAGTAAAGAAAATGATTTTATGGCTGGAGGTTACCACAACATTAGGTATTAAAGGGTAGCAGCATTAGGAAGGTTGAGAAAAACTGCCTCCGAGGTTTCTACAGCTTTCCACTCTCCTTAGGGGAATAAAACCTTTCATCTATAGTGTTCTGTAGGGAGCTGCCTTCCCAACCTCACTAGCCTGCTCTGTTCGCTCTCGGGGCCTCGCCTGGCGTCTGCCCACAGGCCTTTTTTTTCCTGCCTCATTTTCGACTCCTACTTCCCCTCTCTGTCCTTGCCTGTCAAGCACCGTCGTCTCTGCTTCAGCCCTTTCTGTCCCAATGCCACACACGAGCTCACCGCCCGCTGAACACGACCTCCCCCAGTCCCAAGCATTTCAAGAGGAGGCATCTGTAAGAACCCCTTTTAGTTGTTAGGAGCGGGCCCATTGCCTCCCTACAGCCTCGGGCGTCCACGCCACGGAGTGCGCGAAGCCCCGGGAACATGGGCGCCCGGCACTAGTCTCGTGACCGTTGTTCTAAAGCAGCCACCGTCAGGGCACGTTGTGAGGAAAGGTAGGCTGACTAGGAGGAGCTGAAGCCGAGAGGCCGGGCCTGAGGGGAAGGAGGGGGAGATGAAGCGGTACAGGGAGGAGGCCGCGCGCGGCGAGACCGCGAGACGACAGGCGGACGGCCAGAGCGCCCACCGGCTGTTGCGGGACGAGGCGAAGTGTGCCGGGTAGACCTGAGTCCCACGGCAGCCTCCAAACCTGGGGCGAGGCGGCCGGCAAAAGCCAGCGCATCCGAGGCCCACCCGCAGCGGCCACAGAGCACGCCCGCGGGGAAGGGGAGGCGGGACGCCCCACGCATGCGCGCCCTAGCCCCGCCCCTCCCCGCCCTCTGCGTGCGCACCGCCTCGAGCCCGCCTCTCAGAAAGACTGCTGGCGCATGCGGCCCGGCGGAGCAGTCGCTGCCCGAGCCTCACCGCGCCCGCGTCGGCCTGCCTGTCGCTGACGCGAGACTCTGAAGCCGGCCTCAGGTAGGCTGACTTCAGGGATCCCGGAGGAACGGCTCCCGGTGCAGGAGCCTGTGGCGCCGACACAGCCTCGGCGCGGACGGTCACGCCGCCGGGGTGATAAACGCTTCTCCTCACCAATCATGGGAGAGGCGTCCGGGCGTCCTGCCCAATGGGCTGCATCTCTAACGGGAGTGGGGCGGGCAGTCTCGGAACGCGAGGTGCCGGCTCCCGCGCGCGGGCCGCGTGGCCCGGCTTTGGAGAGGGGGCCGGCCCGGGAGGCCCGGGCAGCCGGGCTTGGTGTGGTGGCGAGCGCCGAGGCCCGCCGCGGAGGGGCCTCCCTGAGCCTCAGCCTGTGGTGGGGCCGGGCTGGCGGCCTGGTGAATCCTTCCTGCCCTACCCTGCGGGAGGAGGGGGCTTGCAGGCTCGCTGGGCCTCACGGGCCAGGCCGCCCGTCGCTGTCGCCCTTTGCAATCCGGGGCGAAGATGCTGGCGTTCTGGAGTTCGTCTACGTCAGCGTGGCTCACTTACGTCCACACTCATTATTTTGAATCCTCAGCACCCCGATGCGAACCCAGGCATCAGGCGCCTCAGGGGGCCGGCTTGAGATCTTAGCACATTGGCGGTGGAGTCTGAGCTTAGTTCCACAACTTAAATTTTTTTTTTTAAAGCTTTCAGGTTTCTCATCTTTGAATTTCTCTGGTGTGTCATGATCTACATTGATCCCGTACTTGAAAATCTTCTGTGTCTTGTCATCTTGCGGAAAAAGTTCAGCGTGGACATTCAACTTTGCCCCACCCATTCCTTTGCCCCCATCTTCCTTGCTTGGTGCATCCTCTGGGCTCACTTGTTTGTTCACTCTTTGCCGTTCTTGAGCTTGGTTCAGTCAGTCAGCCTTTAAGGCCCATTGCAAGGCAGGTTTCAAAACAAGAGTGCCTGGGTCCTCCCTGACTCCGGGGTCATCCCTCCCTGCCATCTGAAGGGCCCCAGTAGGTTACTTGGTCTTGGCACTGAAAGATGGGCTTTTTCATTTCCGTTTTAGGGCCTTGGGGTGTTCTTGCTTCCCTCCCTCAAACCCTGTTACTTATTTCTAAATGGTTTGACTGGAGTGCTAGCAGTATGAAGTGTAGACCCTTCCCGGACTTATTTTTGTGGTGCCCCCAGCATGTGAGTAGGTAGTCTGTAAATGTTAGGGAACGGGGCCTCTCCAACTGGATCTTTGTGGTGGTTGGGATATTTTTTGCCAGTCACTGTGAGAGAGTGCCAGAAACTTCTCTAGAGAGAGAGGTTCACTCTCTGAATAAAGCTGGGTCAAGATGAGGAGATTCGTGGAGTAGTAACCTGTTCCGAAGTCATTCGGAGTGGCTGAGGAGTTTGTAGGAACATCAGAAATTTACTCAGTGTGTCTAGTCTATAGGCTTAGTAAGGTATGCCAGGTTAGGACATCTAAAATATATCCAAATTTGATATATATGCACTAATAAGGAACCATTCAGTAATGAAGTAGTGAGTACTTCTTCCAAATAATCTTTTAATTTGAGGAAGCTGTGTGCTGTATACTCTTTTGGCGTTTACAATCTGTATTAATGTACGTAACACTCCTGAAGGTCGTGGGTTAGAGATTAGTCAGCATTTCTTTTGATTTTTCTGCACATAGGGTCTCTCTGTATGTAGAACAGAGTGTCTTCAAACTTGGGACAGCCCTCTGTCCTCTTCCCAAGTGCCCTTTGCAGGCACCACACCCAGTCAGATCCTTTCTGGAAAATCCGATTGCATTTTGCAGAAACATTTCTTGAAACATTACAGCAGAGGATAGAAAAAGCAGGATAGCATTCCTTGCTCTTTGAGGGGAAAGGTATTTCAAGCATTATGATTTCCTTGTCGTGTGTTCATTCTTGTTCCTGGGAGGAGTGAGCCTGGGAAATGCTTCCAGGAGAACTTAGCTTTCCTTGTTCCTTGGTTTATTTTTGTTTTAATTTGACTTCACACAGAGGGTTTCTTTTTTTTTTTCTTTCATTTTTTTATTTAAATTAGAAACAGGCTTGCTTCACATGTCAATCCCAGCTCCCTCTCCCTCCCCTCCTTCTTTGCGGGGGGCCCGCAAGGCCCCTAACCCCTCTCCCAATCCCCATTCTGATCCCCAGGGAGGGTGACGCCCTCCATGGGGGAATCTCCACATTCTGTCATTTCATTCAGGGCAGGGCCTAGGCCCTCTGCCTAGAGTCCAGGCTGAGAGAGCACCCCTCATTGTGGGATGGGCACCCAAAGTCCATTTTGCCAGGGATAAATACTACCCAAGGCCCCATAGATTGCCTAGGCCTCCTTACTGACACCCACATTCAGGGGGTCTGGATCAGTCCCATGCTGACCTCCCAGCCATCAGTCTGGGGTCCAAGAGCTCCCCCTTGTTCAGGTCAGCTGTCTCTGTGGGTTTTACCAGTCTGGTCTTGACCCATTTGCTCATCAGTCCTCCCTTTCTGTCACTGGATTCCAGGAGTTCAGTTCAGTGTTTAGCTGTAGGTGTCTGCCTCTGCTTCCATCATTCACTGGATGAAGTTTCTGTTTCTCAGACTCTCTAGCAGTGGTATTGTAGGGTGGCACTCCCCTGATCCATGTCTAAAATACATATATGAGAGAGTACATGCCATGTTTGTCTTTTTGTGACTGTGTTACCTCACTCAGGATGGTTTCTTCTAGTGCCATCCATTTGCCTGCAAATTTCAAGATTTCATTGTTTTTTTTTTTTTTTCCACTGACTAGTACTCCATTGTGTAAATGTACCACATTTTCTCTATCCACTCCTCAGTTGAGGGCCATCTAGGTTGCTTCCAGGTTCTGGCTATTACAAAGAATGCTGCTATGAACATAGTGGAACACACAGAGGGTTTCTAAAGGAGGAAAGTGTCTTCTCTATGCTAAAGTAAGCATTTCCTGCCACTTGGTGACTGCATTTTCTCTTTGGTGACATTTGGGTTTCTGGATCAAGGTGGTCTCCCAAGCTGGGGAGTGGTGATGAATAAATCTTTTGCTATGTCACTATCTCATTGCTTGTTGATGCTCTTTTCACTTCACTCTGCTGTTCTTGCATTCATCTTACTTGTCAAGTGTTTCTTTTACTACCTACCATACCTTACTACTTTCTGGGATTAATGTGATCTCTGTGTGCTTCACACTGGGTAATTTCACAAGTTCCATTTCCTTCAGCCTCTGTCATCTCTTTAGAGCATACCTGGGAGAGACTGCTGCCAAGAAGCAATTTACTAAAATACAGATGAGAACTACATGTAATTGAAGGAACTGGAGGTTTTGTATGGCTTCTTTTAAGTGCTTATCAGTTCTTTCCTGTTGGTCAGTCTTCTAGAACTTAGAGGAGGTTTGTTCTCTGTATGTGATAGTTTAGCCAAAAACATTCTTTCAAGGAGAATTGGGATGCTCTTTCAAGATTGTGACTTCCCCCTCCTTCCAAGGGGAAATAATGAGACACTTGCCTGGTATCTCAGTATTTGGCAATGATACTGGCTAACTAGCTATAAAGCTTTATTTGTAAGATGTATGCAAATAAGAATGTGTGTGTTTATATGTAAATTTCCCTTCTAGGTTAAAAAGGAAAATGAAGTACATTCTAGTTACTGGTGGTGTTATATCAGGAATTGGAAAAGGAGTCATTGCCAGTAGTGTGGGCACAATACTCAAGTCATGTGGCTTACATGTAACATCAATTAAAATTGACCCCTACATTAACATTGATGCAGGAACATTCTCTCCTTATGAGCATGGTAAGCAAACTGCGTATTTCTCTCTTTTCTAAATAGTAACTGTCTGTGGAAGAACATGCTAGCTCTTGGGGATTGGGTGTACATATTGCAAACTTCCATTTCCTGCCTTTTAGAATGAGCCTTAGTGTAACAGAATGATGCTTTTTCTATCAAAAGGAAGCAGCTGGGCAGTAGTGGTGCGCACCTTTAATCCCAGCACTCGGGAGGCAGAGACAGGTGGATCTCTATGAGTTGGAGACCAGCCTGGTCTATACAGAGAAATCCTGTCTCAAAAAAAACCAAAAAACCAAACCAACAACAACAAAAAAACCAATCAGCTGGATTGGAGAGCTGGCTTATAGGTTAAGAGCATTGGCTGCTCTTCCAGAGATCCTGAAGTCCTGAATTCAATTCCCAGCAACCATATGGTGGCTAAAAACCATCTGTAATGAGATCTATAATACTATACACACAATAAATAAATGTTAAAAAAAAAGGATGCAACTATCTTAATAGATAACTTGAAGAGTTTCTATAATTTAAAGTGTGGAGGCCAGGTGGATGGGAGTGGTGACAGCTGAATGAAAATTTTTCTATTTCATTTGAAAAGTGGAATATATTTGAGAAGATGAAATATGCTGTTTTGTGGCCTGAGTCTTTAGAAATTGCATGGGTAAGTAGAAACTGTAAGAGAGTAGCTTTTGGCCCTGTTATAACAAGTGTCCTTCAAACAAAGAGGGCTGCTTTGTAGGGATGTAAGCAACAGGTACAGACTTAAAGGGTGGGTAAGCTTGGGAATCTATTCTGCTGCTGGAGTTTGAATAATATTTATAATGAGAATCTTTTGAAGTGAGTGAAAGTTGAAACTGAATAAGGGTGGAAGAAAACATTTTACTTCTTTGTTACTGAATTCTTCTGGTGTGATAAATGAATGGCATATCTAATATTCTTTGTTTATTTGGAGAAGCAATATTAAAACATGGTTTAAAGCTGGGTCTGGTGGCATAGTCCTATGGTAGTAATCCTAGCACTTAAGGAGGCTGAGGAGACAGGAGGATTACAAGTTTGAGGCCAGCATGAACTAACTACACAGTGAGCTCAAGGCCAACCTGGGCTACTTGTTCAAGGCTAGCTAGGATTACATAGCAAGACCCTGTCAAAACATTGGAACTCATTAAGACCCTGTGCCTTCAAGTATTAAAATCCTATATGTTTGCTTCTATCTATAAGGATATATACTAATGTTAGTTAAAAATAGCATCAGAAGATCCATATACTAGAGGAATTTTTTTGTTGTTGTTTTCTTAGTTCTAGGGGTTGAACCAGGGCTTTGTGCCTGCCAGATATAAAGTTCTTGAGTAGATGGGTTTTCTCTCTGAAGGGTGAGATGAGCTTGTCCCCAATTTTGAGTGGGAATGAATCATTCTAGGCAGCATTTCCACAATGAAGTTGCAAAGAATAAACATGAAACAAAGGGATAGGGCAACTTGGACTGTTGAATAACTGCTTAGAACTAAAGTGTCGCTCAGAAACTGGCTTTTAAAAATCAATACAGCTTTTCTTTGTATATGTCATAGGAGTTTTTGAATCATCCTGCTTCTGTTCTTGAACATTTTCTGCTTGGGTAGGTCTTTTGCTCAAGATGCTGTTTTTTTTTTGGTTTTTTTTTTTACGAGACAGGGTTTCTCTGTATTGTTTTGGAGTCTGTTGGTCCATCAAGATGCTGTATTACTGTAAAGTCCCTTCACCCACAGCCTTCATTGCTGGGCTTTTCTTCCATTCTGTTTAACTCTTCCCAATAAAGATTGAGTTCAGGCTGTCAGCATAAAGCACTCTTTTGAAGAATAACTGGCAAGTTGTGTTTGTGACATTCTATTTTTTAGAAATGATGTCTATGTTTTGAAATCAGGTTGTGCAGACTTTGCTCCATCTAAATGTTTATATTTCAAGATTGATATTGCACCATGGCAAATGTGTTTTTCATTTCCTTGTACATGTTCACTCTTCACTGAAGGAGAAGTCTTTGTTCTGGATGATGGTGGAGAGGTTGACCTTGACTTGGGAAATTATGAAAGGTTTCTTGATATCCGCCTCACCAAGGACAATAATCTGACCACGGGGAAGATATACCAGTATGTCATTAACAAGGAGCGCAAAGGAGATTACTTGGGGAAAACTGTCCAAGGTAAGACCGAATTAACCTTTAAAGCAAAAACTATTGAGTATAAAATTTTATTTTTATGTAATTTCAGTATTTTGGTTAGGTGTTATAACCAAAATACCATTTTAGTTGAAAATTCAGAAGTGTATGATTGTTCACTCAAAAGCTGCTGTTCCTCTAGTAATGGCATATATGTTGTCAGTCAGCATGGTGGCACGGTTGGAGTACAGAGAGCTGTTGCTTTTACACGCTGATCAGAGAAGGCAGTTACCTGAGGCATTATGCTTGGTGGCTTGTGTAAATGAGGAAACGAGATTCCATTGCATATGTTGGATTTTCAGGCTTTTCATCTGTGTCATGTGGGCTGGTGGGAGTCTGAGAAATGGGATTGGTACCCTCTTGAGCTTTTACCAGCTCAGCTGATATCTGTTGACCTGGGATTTTCTGTAAGTAGTCATTTGGGAACAGTGTTCCCTGCTTTGAAAAAGTGGCATTGGGACACTATTGGCCTAGTGGGATGACAGTATGCTGGTTTGAAAAGGCCATTGCTTTTCTCTGAGTTATAAGAGCAGATTTGCATTTGATTTGCCTTTGCTGCACTGAGAACTAAGATTCAGCCTGGCTCTGGCCTGGGGCTGCCCTGGTCAGATTCTTATCTAATCATTTTGTAATTTGGGGCTTGGCTCTGTTAATTACTAGCCCTATGAACACAGGAAGGAAAAATCTGTACCCTTTTGAGATGTGGTTTTCTTTTCTGTAAAATGGAGGTGGCAAAGGCTTATGCTTATTGAACTGTTAAGAATTAAAACTGCATCAGTATGGTGCTGCTCCACCTTTCTGACAGAGGGTCTGTTGCGAATTAAGGTTATGCTGGTTGTGCAGTTTGTTGTTCTGGTGCACTTGTTCCTTTTTTTTTTTTTTTTTTTTTGGTTTTTCGAGACAGGGTTTCTCTGTGGCTTTGGAGGCTGTCCTGGAACTGCACTTGTTCCTTTATTTGTCATCATGCAATGTTTATTGAATACTCACTGTGGTCATCCCCTTACTGGTGCTTAGCATATGTGATGAAGAGATCATTGAGGTCCTCATGTTAGTTGGCCATGGGACAGACAGAAAACAAATGAGATGTTTGATAAGAGGCGGGAAAGGAAATAAAGAGCAAGGCTAGAAAGCATGACTGGGAAAGCTACTCCATAAGGTGGCTAAGGCTTCAGGAGGGAACTTGAGCTTAAGAGCCAGTCAAGAAAAGTGAAGGAGGAAGCCCAGGTACACAGGCTCTAGACTACAGGGATCTGTAGGTAAGGACCAGAGGGGAAGCTGTTGTGGTTGAGACATTGTGGTCTGTGGCAGCAGAGCGGTCACCCAGTGGGTCTTATGTGAGGCTTTCACTGATTACTAAGGAGTTTAAATATGGAGTAACGAATTCTGATTAGTGTTTGTAGATCACTTGGCTGCTCTGTGTGATATAGATAATGGGTATCTATGCAAGAGTGCTGGTGCTTAATCCCAGATCATTCCAGTTACCTTTACACTTTAGGGGATTGCATTCTTGAGTCCAACAACTGTGATTCTAAAGTGTCCCACAGTAGCTGGTTATTACTGAGTCCTGGATGCTCTGTAAGATCTTCACAAGTAGAGGTAGCAATTATTTCTACTTGATAGGAGACACCAGGCTTAAAGATAAAGAGGTAATAGACTCAGTGAGCCACAGCTGGTGAGTGGTGAACTGAGATTTGACTCTAGATGCTGTGCCCTTCACTACTTGGCTGTGTTGTTATGTCTCTTGCAGTGGATTGTCTACACTTTGTCTAAACTAGAAACAAATGGCACAGGGCTCTGGTAGTCTGTTTGTTCCTGGAAAAGTGCTCAGGTGTGATGTACCCATTGTAGCCTCAGCTGAGAGTGTAGGGGTGGTCACATGGTCTTGTGTCCATGTGTAGCCAGAAGAGTGGACTGCATAGGGCAGGTGTTCTTAGGTACTTAGGGAGTCACTCTTTTCATATGGCTGCCAGCAACAGCCTTTCCAGAAATCTGGAAAGGAGGCCTAGGGAAATATGAGCCCAAAGATTTATTGAGTCATTTAAAGGCACTTCAAAAGTATTTTTATGATCCTATTGCTTGTTTATTTAGGCAAAAAAGTGTATCATTTTAACAGTAAATGTATTGCCTTCATAAATGCTGATTGAAAGGCAAGTATAAGTTACAGATTTCTCTTCTTTTTCCCAGTTGTCCCTCATATCACAGATGCAATCCAGGAGTGGGTGATGAGACAGGCATTAATACCTGTAGATGAAGATGGCTTGGAGCCTCAAGTGTGTGTTATTGAGGTTTGTATCATTCTTACCTTTGTGAACTGATTCAGTCATTCGTCTCCTTAGCTATCAATAGGACCATGCCCAGTGAAAACCCAACCTTCTATTTCTGTCCTTGCAGTGTGCAGCAGCAGATAGAATGGTGCACAGGGGAAGCAACATTTTCCCTAATGTTGGACCATCTAATACCTACTCAAACTGGCAGGACACATTTTTGTCCCTTTCTTGTTGGTGGCAGCCCTTTGCTTGCCTCTGGCAGAGTTTACCCTACTAGCTTCCTTTGATTTGTTTCTATTCTGACTGTTCATCACAGTCATCAGAAGTCTCAACAGTTTTGTTATAACTGGTGGTTTTCATTAGAAAAGTTACTTATACTTAACTAAGGAGACACATCTAGATTTCATTTATTTATTTGATTGTTTATTCTTTGTGGCTCTCAAGTTAATCAACGATACCTAAGAATTACAGTCTGTCTAGTTTCTGGTACTTTTCTTTTTTTTGGTTTTTCGACACATGGTTCTTCTGTGTAGCCCTGGCTGTCCTGGAGCCCACTCTGTAGATCAGCCCAAACTCATAGAGATCAGTCTGCCTCTGTCTCCCAAGGCCTGGAACTAAAGGTGTGTACCACCACCACCTAGTTCCTGGTACCTTTCAAACTCAGTCATTTTCTTAAAATGCTTAGATGATATGATATTTGTAATATTTTTGAGGAAATCAGGAGTCCCTTACTCAAGACTGACATTCAGCAGGGCTAGGAGTTTGCAGTTACACTAATCTGGGCACTGAATGGTAGAGATTCAGTGTTAATCTCTGAGATGGTGTGTCTTTTTCAGCTTGGTGGCACAGTGGGAGACATTGAAAGCATGCCCTTCATTGAGGCCTTCCGCCAGTTCCAATTCAAGGTCAAGAGGGAAAACTTTTGTAATATCCATGTCAGTCTGGTTCCTCAGGTAAGGCATACAGTTTAGATCTAAGCTTTCAATACTGGAGGTACAAGAAATAGGAAATAAAGAACTTCTGTGAGTTTATTACAATCACATGCTTTATGTTTATTTATTTGATATGTGTAGCGGCTGGAGAACATATACGCCCATACCTGCTGAGCCTTCTTGTCAGTTCATGTTTTGAAAGATTAAGTGGAAAAGGTTTGAAAAATGAATCTGAACAGTTGTAATAAAGGTAGTAGACTGGATATGTATGCTTGTCTTTGCTATCTGTCAAAATCAGAGTGACATGATTTTTTAAGACAGAATTTCAAAAAAGATAGCATGGAGATGAGTTGGCAGTGATTAAAAATAAGGAATTCACAAAGCATACTAACATAAAAACTGACTGAGCAGCCTTGGGTGTGCACCTGCAGCAGCAAGAGCTGAGAAGCCATCCTTTTTGCTCTGTGGACCCTCCAGAAGCACATGGTGGGCAGTATCAGGTTCTTCTGGGAGTTGGATAAGGATAGGATTCACTGCAAAGTCTGCCCATACTTATTTGCTTATGTGCCCAATTAGGCACCTGTCTATTGCTATAAGATAGTCCTGGAGATGGTTTCTTGATAAACAGACACTGGACAGTTGAGCAGTGATGCTGAACTATTAATATGTTGTGTTGCTTGTAGTTTGCTTTTAGATAGGAGTCAGGAGCCAGTAACTGTGTGTTCAGCAGGAATTGAACGCTGTAAGACAGGAACATAAGATAGGAAAGAATTGAAGTTAAGAATTAGATAAAACAGAGATGAAAGTAAGAAGGAGGGAAGCTGAAGAAATACCCAGGAAGTAGGACAGAGACAAATAGGAGAGAAGAGGTAAGAATTGATATAGACCTGTTATGTATAGCAGGATATCCTGAAAATTAGAACAAAGAAATGAACCAAGGGTTGACAGGTTGTGCTGGGGGCCAAGGGCTATTGTTTGGCTTTTTTTTTTTAAAGATTTATTTATTATGTATTTAGTGGTCTGTCTGCATGTTTGCCTGCAGACTAGAAGAAGACATTAGATCTCATTATATATAGATTGTTGTGAGCCACCATGTGGTTGCTGGGAATTGAATTAAGGGCCTCAGGAAGAACAGTCAATGCTCTTAACCTCTGAGCCATTTCTTTTTTTTTTTTTTTTTTTTTGTTTTTGTTTTTGTTTTTCGAGACAGGGTTTCTCTGTGGCTTTGGAGGCTGTCCTGGAACTCGCTCTGTAGACCAGGCTGGTCTCGAACGCACAGAGATCCGCCTGCCTCTGCCTCCTGAGTGCTGGGATTAAAGGCGTGCTCCACCACCGCCCGGTCTGAGCCATTTCTTTAGCCCCTGATTACCTATTTTTAAAAACAGTCTTGTTTTATGGAAAGTTGAGTATATATGGCAAGCCATATGGTCCACAAATCTCAAAATAATAACAGTAGTAATAATAATGGGCTTTGAGATAGAATATGTGTCATAATGTAGCTCAGAGTGGTCTGGACCACTGTGTAGTCTAGGCTGTTGGCCTTGAACTTTTAACAACCTCCTAAGTGTTCAGGTAATGGGCATGAGCCATGATGCAAGACTGATCCCTAAAGTAGTTATTATCTGGCTCTTTACAGAATTTTCTGACCTCTGATCTGAACAAGGAAACTTCAAGACACAGTTTCTAGATTGGAAGAGCCTACTGAGTGCTTACTATATTGAGTGTAAAATGGCCACCACTAAGGTTCATAGCTATGAGAGTACAGAATAATGGATCAGAAGGCCTCAGAGGCCCTAAGGAAAAAGAATCAAGTCAGTATGGCCAACTCAGAACTAGAAGAAAGTGAAACCATTGCATTAAACAGTCTTGAGGCAATGGTTCTTAACCTCTGTAATACTGCAGCCCTTTAATACAGTTCCTTATGTTATAGTAATCCCCATTTATAAAATTACTTTTTTTGCTGCTTTATAACTAATTTTGCTGCTGTTAGGAATTATAATAGAAATATCTGTTTTCTGATGATCTTAGATGACTCCTGTGGAAAGGTCATATGACCCTCAAGGGGTCGGTCATGATCCACAGGTTGAAAACCACCATTCTAAGGGGAGGTTATTTACAATGGCGAACTCTAAACCTAGAAGATCTGTCTTAAAGTGTTGGAAGAAAATAAAGATACTTTAGACACAAGTATGGTACATGGCTTAGTTGAATACTATAAATACTCAAAAATGCATAGTGTCATGGGGCAGGAGGGAGAGAGATCAGTAGAGCATGCCTTAGACAAGTGCTGAGATGTAGCAGTAAAATACGGCAGTATACTTGGGAATTGACATGGACTGGGGTCAGAGCTCAACGGCAACCCTTGTCTTTAGTGTGGACCATGCCCTGGTTCAGTTCTGCCCTAAATATAGATATAAAAAAACCAATTATTGTAGGGTTTGGAGTGTGGGAGGACAGGGCCATGTAATACTGTCTGTTAAGCCAAACTCCATAGAACTTTTTGACTCTAACATATGTGCATGTGTAACTTCAATAAAAATTAAGGCTGAATTGTACAATCAAATTTTCCATTTAGAGGTTTAGAGAAAAGTCATACTTGGAAACTGTCAGAGAAATGAACTACTTTTTTTTTTTTTTTTGTAAAACAGCCAAGTTCAACGGGGGAACAAAAGACAAAACCCACCCAGAACAGTGTTCGGGAGCTTAGAGGACTTGGGCTTTCTCCTGACTTGGTAAGGTTTCCCTCAGTGCCTGGTTTTTGTGTCATTGCCCACATTTAATTAAAATCTGGCCTCTATGGCATGCTGGACGTTTGTCAGAAGGCATTTGATGGTGGATGGAGAAAACTGTGCTTTGAGTGGGACTGGAGTTTGTGATTTTTCTTGCTGGCATGTGTGAAGAAGCCTTGTACTTCCTGTGTCTTGCTTCTCACAAGAAGAACATTAAGGAGGAGGAAAAAACCAGTTAGCTCTTGTATTTCACTGTTTCCCCATCTCTCATGCTCTGCTTGGGATGTAGGAGTTTTGGTTTTGAAAACAAAGTGGTGGATCATGTGCACTGTGCTATAACTGACATTTTTATCCATCTCAGAGTGTTACCTTATTTTAATTCCAGTGTGGAAAGCCCTACTTTGACCCACCCTTCTGCTCCAAGACCCTTGTTTTCTTAATTGCTAGGTGGTATGCAGGTGCTCAAATCCTCTTGATACATCCGTGAAAGAGAAAATATCAATGTTCTGCCATGTGGAACCTGAACAGGTAAGTACATTTCACTTCTGGAAAATGGCTTTTTACTTCTAATTGCCTAAATAAAGCCTTGACTGCGATCCATTTCTCAAGACTTCTTATTGTGTCACAGTTAGTGACAGAAGACTGTTCCCTAGATCTTAACACAACTTTTTCCTCTCTTTTCTCATTCCTTGGTGTTTTTTTTTTTTTCTTTTCTTTTCTTCCTTTTTGTTGTTGTTCAAAACAGCATTTCTCTGTGTAGCTCTGCCTGTCCTGGAGCTCACTCTGTAGACCTAGCTGGTCTTGAGCTCACAGATACTTGTCAGCCTCTGCCTCTGCCTGCCTAGTGCTGGGATTAAAGTGCACCACCATTGTATGACCTTGTTTCCTTGTTCTTTATGCCCTGTCTGGGGTGAATGTCTTTGTTTCTGTAGGGTCCCACTTTATTTCTTGGTATCCGGGGCCTTGTGCATACTAATCAAATACTCTTATCATTGAACATCCTGAGCCCTTAGTCTTTTGAGATGAAGTCTTGCTTTGCGGTCCATTCTGGTCTTGACCTTATGTTTGCCTAGCCTTAAGTCTCTCAAGTGCTGGAATTACAGGCATGTGTCCCCAACCTAGCTATTCTTTGCTTTTGTGCTTGGTAATTCCTGTTCAGGAAGCAGAGTCCCCTGTTTCTGTTCACCCAGCATTTCCTCTTGTTTATTTTATTGCTAAGGGTCTAACTAGGACAGTGTTACCCGCCAGTGGTTAGGGTCTGTGCCAGGTGTTTTCAGGTTTTTGTCCTCTTATCCAAAAAATTGGAATAAGGGCTCACAATTTTGCACAAAAAGCCAAGCCAATATTAGAGCTAAGTGGTTGAGGATTGACTGTGTGCCCCATGAGTGAGAGTACTCAAGGACCTAGTTATTGCTCAGGGCTTCTTTTTATGGAGTTTAAGATAAGGAGAAGTTAGATACTAAAGGGTGTAGTTTGGATTGATAGATAAATCATATACTTTCTCTTAGTTTGCATGTCTCTTCCTACAGTGCATTTGATTTTAATCATGTGTAAATCCAGTTATACATAGTCATATGTAAATAGGGGAGTCTCCCAAAAAGAATGCTAGAGGATACAGTTTTGTCTCACTTAGGCATGCACACCCCAAACCAGTTCAGGCCAGATCAATTCTTCTATTTTTCATACCCACATATGCTAGTTTTCTTGAATACAAACGGTATACATTTGGTTGTTACATCTTCACTGGCAGAGAAATTTACAATATTGCTCTGAGATGGTAGTGCATGTAGCCTGGTGCAGGTTTGGGGTTGAGGGAATCTGAGATTACTGGGTACATTGTTTGAAGATGGGTGTGCATGCATAATATGTGCAAGTTAAGGGACAAGGTTGCCAAATACATTATTAAAAGATGTGTGTGTGTGGGTTATATAATCCAAAATCAAATGTGGGTCCCAAGCTAAATTGTCTCCTGTATTTGCGTTAAGTACTTATGAAAAGCTTTTACCACACCCTTCTTTGTTTTTTTTTTAAACATTTATTTATTATGTATACAGCATATGTCTGTATGCCCACAGGCCAGAAGAGGGCACCAGATCTCATTACAGATGGTTGAGAGCCACCATGTGGTTGTTGGGAATTGAACTCAGGACCTCTAGAAGAGCAGGCAGTGCTCTTACCCTCTGAGCCATCTCTCCAGCCCCTACCACACCCTTCTTAACCCTTGAGGCTAATCACTTCCCTTTCTCTGGGTTGCTTGTATGTCTCAGATAAACTGGTGGTGAGTCTGTCATGTTCCCCTTGATGTATGTGTACACATCCATTTTTATGTTTTTTGGTGTCTGGTGTCCAGGATATTGAGGCTCTCATGTGCATTTTAGTCTGTTGCTGTGTTAATGGATCCTGTGATGTCTAAGTATGGTGATTACTAATGAAACTCTAATGGGTATAAATAGAGTTTATGGCATTAGTCAGTGTGTTGGGATTTTTTAAAACTTTATGTGTATGAGTGTTTTGTTTGCATGTATGTCTGTGTACTGTATGCATGCCTGGTACCTGCAGAGGTCAGAAGTGGGCATTGAATCTGGTACTGGAGTTGCAGATGATTGTGAGGTACCTTGTAGGTGTTGGGACTTGAACCTAGGTCCTCTGGAAGAACAGCAGTGTTGTTAACAGCTGAGTGATCCTCTTTTAGCCCTAGTTTTTCATTCTTAAATTCCTGAGGCAACCAATTTAATAAAGAAAGAAGGTTTATTATAGTTTGGAGACAGTGTTTAAACAGTGTAATACAGACTCTGGGAAGGTCCCATGGTGGCAGCTAGTAGAGTGCAGCCGGGGTTGCAGAGATCAACTTTTCAGCCAGGTCACAGAGAGAGAGAGAGGGACCAGGTTCCTTGTGGGAATTCAAGGATTATAGGAATATTGTCTTAATTCCTTCCAAGGGAGGATTTCCAATGACTCAAGGATTTCCTAGACCTGAGTTCCACAGCACCTTCTAGTTATGCCAGTTTGGGCCTAATCCTCCAGCCACATTGGGCACTTGAGGGGCCTCAAACCCTGAAGGAGATCAGAAGAAAGGTACAAGCAAGGAATTTTCAGATGAGTGTATGTAGAATTTGTTTTACTGCTCCATGACTGAGGGTCAGAAGAGCAAGCAGAAGAGCCCAGCTAACCTGGTTGGGAACAGCAAAATGGACTTTAAAATGAGAGCAATTCACTTCATGAGACTTGGGAGAATTTGGTAAAAGGGGCTGTTGAGATCATTGGCTTAGCATAGACATGCGTGGAGCCAGAGGTAACTTCCTTGACTTTTACTGAGGACTTCTCCTTGAGGACAGGCCTTGGGGTAAAGGCATCTGGGGCTGGAGTCAGGTTCCTTGTGTGACTCCTAAGCTAGGGGCTCCTTCTTAGGTTCTGCTTCATATTCAACCCATGAAGCACAGATTTTCATTTTTTTCACAGTGGCCTTTTATTGTGTATTTTATTTCAGGTATTTCTGTCTTCACAAGTGAAGAGGGGGAGATTCCTGTCTAGTAGAATTGACTTTCATAAGAATTATTCTCTGGGCATAGCAATGCACTCCTTTAATCCCAGTATTTGGGAGGCTGAGGCAGGTGTATCTCTCTTGAGTTTGAGGTCAGCTAGTTCTAGGACAGCCAGGACTACATGTTTCACAAAAATAAAAACGGAAAAAGAAAATATGTGAAAACTCTTTACTGTTATTCACTGAGGAATAGTGCACATTTACCAAGATTTGAATTTCAGGTCTTCTGCCTATTTTAAACATTGGGTTGTTTATATCAAGTAGTAAGAAATTAGTACCAATGTAGTCTTTTGTCAGGTATGTCATGTGTAATGTTTTTTCAGCCTCTGGCTTGCATTTATGCTCTTAGTGGAACATAGAAATTTAAATGTTCAGTGTTTTCTTTTGTGGGTTGTGCTGCTTTCTGGCTATTTTTAAAACTGCTCAGTCATCGTCATGAAGATTTTCCTCAATTTTCTCAAAAGTTTTATATTATACCAGACCTATTTTGAGTCAACATTTGTACAGTGTGAGATAAGGAGTGACAAAACTATCTTTTCATGTGTGGGTATCCAGGTATCCAGCCCTGTTTGTTGAAAGGGCTATCTGTGATTATCATTTTTTGTATTATATGTAAGATTTGCTTCATAAACTTTAGGATTATGTATGATGTCATAATTTTTGTTACTATAGTGAATAATATTTGTAAAATTGTATTCTTGGTTAGAAATGGCCCTCATTGTGGGGCACCCTGGTGATTTCTTGTAATCTATAGTCTAGCATCCTCTTAAAATTCTGTTAGATAATGTTTTCTGTAAGTCCTATTTTTTATGGGCACACACAGGCAGCCATGATGCATGCTTGTAGTACCAGTTATTTAGTTTTTCAAATCACATTGCGTTTCTTGTTTGACTATAATCAGTGACATCACCAGGATCTTTGAGTAGTGACAAGGTGGGGGGGTTCCCTTGTTCTTTTAACAGTAAGCAGGAGTTTTAAGTGCTAGTCTGTGGGTATTTTATATTTTCAGAATTTTTTCCTAATATTTATTTGTTTCTTTGAGACAGGATTTCTCTGTGTATCAGTCCTAGCTGTCCTGGAACTTGCTCTGTAGATGCTTGCCTTGAATTCACAGAGATCCACCTACCTCTGTCTCCAGAGTGCTGGGATTAAAGGCGTGCACCTTTGGCTAATATTCTTAATTTACTTCAATTTTATCATGAACAGGTTCTGAATTTTTATTGCCTATACCCACTGACTTTTTATTTTTCTCCTTTTTAATGTGTTCATGTGGCATGTTCAGTATTCCTCTAATTATTGGCATATACTCATTGTACAGAAGGATCAGCTTCTTTATAATATCTTCATAGTATATATCATGAACTTTGATGCATTTATTAATTATTTATTTATTTTTGGTTTTTTGAGTAAGGGTTTCTTTGTGTAGTCCTGACTGTCCTGGAACTTGCTCTGTAAACCAGGCTGGCCTCGAACTCACAGAGATGGGCCTGCTTCCTCTTCCTTGCTGCTGGGATTAAAGGCATGCACCACCACCACCTGGCTTGAATTATCCCTTCCCCCTCTTTTTTAAAACTTGTTTTCCACTTCCTTCTGGTTTTCTGCCTTTTCTCTACTGTGTGAACCCCCTTCTACTTTCATGTCTTGTATTTGTTTTTTTTTTGTTTTTTGTTTTTTTTTTTTTTTTGTTTTTTCGAGACAGGGTTTCTCTGTGGCTTTGGAGGCTGTCCTGGAACAAGCTCTTGTAGACCAGGCTGGCCTCGAACTCACAGGGATCCACCTGCCTCTGCCTCCCAAGTGCTGGGATTAAAGGCGTGCGCCACCAACGCCCGGCTCTTGTATTTGTTTTTAAAATCTAGATTCCTTATGGGAGAGAAGCCAAATTCCACTTTAAAATGACCCAATGCAGTGGATTTCAAATTTGGCTGTACACTGGGATAAGCCAGTAGCCTCCCACTTCCAGAGAGAATTCTTATATAAACTCCCTCAGCGATTCTTCTGTACAGCTGAGTTTGAGAACCATTGATTTAAGTTTTCAGGGTTCAGGAATGGTCCTCTATGGGCATGTTTTTGTTGTTTTGAGATAACCTAAGCCGGCCTTCAATTTATGCTTCACCTGTCTTAGTGTCCTGAGTGCAGGCATTACAGGCATGTACCATAACATCTGGCTCTTTCTAAAGGATTTTGCATCCTTGTTCATAATAGTCTCCAGTGTCTATTCTTGAATCAGCTGGAAGTTTGTCTTTTTTGTTTCAAATTAAAGGTTTTTTTCCCCCTTAAGATCATATAGATGTAACCCTATTTAGTTGTTTTTATTAACCCCCCCCTTTTCTTTTTAAACAGGTGATCTGTGTTCATGATGTTTCATCCATCTACCGGGTACCCTTGTTGTTAGAAGAGCAAGGGGTTGTAGACTATTTTCTTCGGAGACTTGACCTTCCTATTGAGAGACAGTCACGAAAAATGCTGATGAAATGGAAAGAGATGGCAGACAGGTTTGTCGTAAGTTGTTGTGTATGCATGCTTAGTCTTGTAGGGGCTCTGTCTACCATAGGAAGAGATGTTCAGAAGGCTAACAAAAGAGCACAGAGGAGGAGGAGGATCTGACTAGGCTGGTAGGTACTAGAACTCCAGGAAGTGTTCAGATTACAACATTGTGCTGTACTCTCTCTCATCAGTTCACAACAGCAGTCTAGTGGCAGAGGGGCACGTGTATTCCCAGAGCCTACAGGAATGCTAGCTAGCTATGGCTGCTGTACTCCTAAGTCATATCACTGATATCTAAGCTGTGTTTGGGAAGGAACATGCCATTCATTCAACTAGAAGGGCTGAGTAGGAGTGGACTACTGCCACCTTGTCATATAGCTCTGAGGTGGTCTCATTTCTGAGATACTAACTCATTGCCTAGAGCAGGGTTTGTCAAACTGTAGTTGGAAAATAACTGTGTTGACATTGTATGCACACACAGTCTGTGATAACTGCTTTCACTTGGACAGTTTCTCTTTTGATTTTGGCCGTTTATGTGGAAATCTTTTGTGTCCATTTGTATATAGCTATAAAAATAGTTTATAGTTTTTAATGATCTTTTTTCATAAAACATAAAACATTGTCAGTCTGCTATTGTCTTAGCAATAGATTGCTGTGAAGAGACATCATGACCACTGTAACTCTTATAAAGGAAACCATTTAATTGGGACTGGTATACAGTTCAAAGGTTTATTGTAATCATGGTGGGAAGCATGGTGGCATGCATGCATACATGCTGGAGAGTTCTACGTTTGGATCCAGAGGCAGCAGGAAGAGACTGAGACACTCGGCTTAGTTTGAGCATCTGAAAAACCTGCCCCCAGTGATATACTTCATCTAACAATGCCATACCTGCTCTAACAAGGCCATATTTCCTAATAGTGCCATTCTCTGTGCGCCTGTGGGGACCATTTTCTTTCACACCACCGTAGTTATGTTTTAAAACGGAAATTTTTGATGATATCGACAGACATCTCCTTTGTGACTGCACCATAATTTATTTGACTTACGACATTAACTCTTATGAGTTGTTTAGGTTTTTGTTTTGTTTTTTTGCCCTTTGGGATTGATTATTTTTTTAATGGCATTTATTTATTTTGGTTATGTTTGTGTGGTTGAGTGTATGCATTCCACAGTATATATGTGGAGGTCAGAGGACAACTTGTGTGGGGGGGTCTGCTTTTTCTTTACACTGTGGGTTCTGGGGATGGATCTCAGATCATCAGGCTTGTGTGGCAAGTGCTTTTGCCCACTGAGCCATCTCATTAACTCCAATTCTATTCTCTTTCCAAGACTGCCCTTATGATCTGAGGGTCCTTTTCATTTTGCATGAAGTACTGAGGTGATACTCTGTATCATCTTCCCAGGCATGTTTCCTCCTTCTGCAGAAGTAATTTCAGTCTCATGATGGTGTGGATGTTGCAAGTAATTGTCTTGGTCCTTATTTGCTAGATATGATCGATTGCTGGAGACCTGCTCTATTGCTCTTGTGGGCAAATACACCAAATTCTCAGACTCGTATGCCTCTGTCATTAAAGCTCTAGAGCACTCTGCATTGGCTATTAACCACAAGTTGGAGATCAAGGTAAGGAAGGGTGTGTAGGGACAACTAAGGAGTAAATGGAAATAGCTTGTGTGTGTGTGTTTTACACATAAAAAATAATAATTGGGCAGCACTTGGGAGGCAGAGGCAGAGGCATGTGGATCTCTGTGAGTTCGTGACCAGCCTGGTCTACAAGAGTTAGTTCCAGGACAGCTTCCAAAGCTATAGAGAAACCTTGTCTCGAAAAACTAAAAAAATAAATACAAGAAAATTTATTAGGTGTAGGTATATGTGGGTGCATCTGTGTTTGCGCCATGGTACATATGTAGAAGTCAGAAGACAACTTATAGAAGTCCATTTTTTTTCTTCCACGATGTGGTTTCTAGAGATTAAACTAGGTTGTCAGGTTTGACAACAAAACCTTTACCCAATGAGTCATCTAGAAGACTTAAATCTTGTGATCTTGTAGATACTCCATGCCTATCTGCTTTATGTTTTTTGGACCTCTGCATTCATTTTTAGGGATAAGAAAGATTCATGACCGGGGTCGTAGTGGCACACGCCTTTAATCCCAGCACTCACTCAGGAGGCAGAGGCAGGTGGATCTCTGTGAGTTGGAGGGCAGCCTGGTCTACAAAGCTACACAGAAGGGGCTGGAGAGATGGCTCAGAGGTTAAGAGCACCTCATGCTCTTCCCAGGGTTCTGAGTTCAATTCCCAGCAACCACATGGTAGCGCACAACAATCTACAATTCAATCTGGTGCCCTCTTGTGGCATGCAGGCAGGACACTGTATATGTAATAAATAAATCTTAAAAAAAAATTAAAAAAAAAGCTACACAGAAAAACACTCCAAACAAACAAACAAACAAACAAACAAAACCCACAAGAAAAGATTCATGTTGCTTTCTGGCTTCAAGGAGACACCAGAGTATTTTCTAGAAATAATGAAAGGGCCTTAGAACATGGGTCTGAGTCAGTCCCTGTGGAATGGGAGGGCTTAGTGGACATAGGTACAATACACAGCTGATGGTGCTGCCTAAGACCCCCTTCCTAGTAGCTGTTCTGGTGCAGTGTCAGTACATGCTCCCATCAAGTATTATGCCTTACTTCAGAGCCGGTGGTCAGACCTGGGGTGCTGGATCTGTTATCCAAGTGTTCTGTGATCTTGGATATATTAACCATCTCCTGCCTAGGTTTCCTTTAAAAGAGGATTGTGGTAGCCCTTTCTCCTGTGGTTAAGAGCTAAATAAATGGTTTACTGGGAACTGCTGAGACTGAGTCTGCTATATAGTAACTGCTGGATTAGTCACTTCCTTTGGAAGTCAGCTGATCTGTTTAGAGCTTTTGTTCCTCTTGCACTGGCTGGAGCTTTTCAAGGAGATGGAAGAGAGGTGAGTAGGAGCTTGGAGCCCAGGGCCAATGAAGGCAGATAGGTTCCCACTACACAATGATTACCTTGTGGCTACCATGCATTTAATGGTGGGGGCTGAGAGAAAATTAAATAATTTAAAGCCCTAGCGTTTTAGGAATATTCAGGCTCTCAGACATAGAACACCTAGGGAAGAGGATCACTTAGTAGATATCGGAGAGAGGAAGGCCCCTGAGGAGGCTGAAAAGGGCTTGGGAAGGAAGGATGGCCAAGGACCTGGAGATGTAGAACAGTTCTAGTGTGAACTAGAGAGGGTCTGTAGATGGTGGGGAGGACATGACTTAGGTCAACACAGATCTTATCCTGAGATTTGGGGAAAAAAAAATCCAAAAGATTGAAGAGAGGATTCTATAAGAAATAAGCTGGTATAATCTGAGCAGTTTTTAGATCAAGCAAAATTGGGATGGATCAAGCAAGATCAGAACTTCCAGGTCATTTTCAGCTATATTGTATTAGAATTTAATACTGCTAAAATGCTCATATCTTATTATTTAAGTCATACTTTGAATTGGGTTTGAATCCAGCTTGGGATATATGAGACCTGCCAAAAAGGAAGAGGGAGAGGCAAGGAAAGGAATTGTAAAATAAGATGCATGTGGATAAATACTTAGCACTTGATTTTCACAGAATTGCAAATGAATCCCAGTGGGCTGCCAGCACATACCCATAAGGGTGGCTGAGAGGACAGGGTACCTTGTGCTTGCTGCCAGGAAGGTGTGTTAAAGATGCACTGCTTTAGGAAGTAGCCTGACGGTTTCATATCAAAGTAGAATAGTATGGCCTTATGCTTTCATACCCTGGTATTTACTAAGAGAAGTGGAAATGTGGGCTGAGGAGGTTGCTCAGTTGGTAGAGTGCTTGCTTACCTGGCATTCAATGAATCTCTGTTCAATTCTCAGCACCTCATAAAACTTGGCATGGTGCTATATGCCTATAATCTCAACACTTGGGAAGTAGAGAAAGAGGATCGTTCAGGGTCATTCTCAGCTATATAGGATAGGTGGAGGTTAGCCTGGGGTGTATGAGGGTATATCCTGTTTCAAAAAACAGAACAAAAAAACAATACAAAAAGATTTTATGCCAGCTCAAGTCTAGAAACAACTCAGATGTCTATAGCAGTTCAGTGGATAGCGTGAGGTATATTTATGCAGTGGAAATTGATTCAGCAATACGAAGGAACAAACATCCATAGTGTGTGTGCAGCTTGGATGAATGTCAGACAGCCTGAGCAAAAGAAACCAGGCTCAAGACTACTAGGGTATGTAGTCTTGACTCTAAGAAAAGCAGCATGCTGCCATGCAACAGGGTTCAAGCAGAGGGCTTTTTTTTTTTTTTTAATTAGGGAAAGGTATCATAAAAAGGGGAAAGGGGAGGGGGGGAGACCAGCCTCCAAGGACAGGAGTAGCAGGAGAGGAAAAAGGGAGGGGAGAGGAAGAGACTGACAGAGGGAGAGAAAGAGAGAAGGATGGGAGGTGGGCAGGGCCTTTTAAAAAGGGAACATAGTGAATATGCACTTACTTAGTGACTGCAGTTGAGGGTGCATCCTGTCAGAACACCAAGGACAGGCTAGTACAGTTGCCTGAGAGTTCTAGAAAAGACGAAGTTGTAGAAGAGGCAAGGCCAATCTGGTGGCAGAATCAGTCCTTTGGTTGTCTGAAATTGAGAAGTAGAGGACAGCTGTCCCCGGGTGTTTTGGGACAATGGCACTGTATCTTTAACTGGTGATAATCTTATGGGGTACCTTCTGTCTTCCGGGGTATATTCTGTCTTCCGGGGTATATTCTGTCTTCATGGGGTACGTCTGTCTTATGGGTTACTTTTGCTGTGATGAAACCATGACCAAAGCGACTTGGAGGAAAGGGTTTATTTGGATTATGCTGCCACATCACAGTTCATTATCAAAGGAAGTCAAGATAGGAATTCAATCAAGGGAGGAACATGGAGGCAGGAGCTGATGCAGTGACGATGGATGGGTACTGCTTACTGGCTTGTTCCCCATGACTTGCTCATTCTGTGTTTTATATAGAACTCAGGACCACCAGCCCAGGGATGGCATCACCCACAATGGGCTGGGTCCTCCCCTATCAATGACCAATCAAGAATGTGCTCCATAGGCTTACCTATAGCCTGATCTTCAAGAAACATTTTCTCAACTGAGGTTCTCTCCTCTGTGATGGCTAGCTTGTGTCAAGTTGGCATAAAACTAGCCATTAAAGGTTACATTAAACAAATATTCTTAAAATGCTTGTATCTTACTGTTTCTAAGTCATACTTTGATTCAGGTGGGGAGAATAATGGAAAAACTAGCTAGCAAATCAACCAAAAACCTATGTGGAGATGGCTTGTGGAGACTGTCATTTGAACAGAGGACAGACTCTCTCCTCCAGTGGCTTACTTGCAAGATCTAAATACTCTGAGTAGAGTGGGTAGAATTGGATTTGAAGGTTAAATAATTTTAAAGAGGCTCCTTAATTAAAATATTTCATTAAATTATTAAATATTAAATTATTGAATTTAATTATTAAGGGAGATGGAACATTGATGTTACTTGAAAGTATGGTTGGATTCATAACTTCTGTTACTCTTTCTGCCTGGTGCCCCAGTACATTGATTCCACAGACCTGGAGCCCAGCACCCTGCAGGAGGAACCTGTGCGTTACCATGAGGCGTGGCAGAAGCTCTGCAGTGCTCAGTAAGTAACCTTTTTTTTGTTTGTTTGTTTGTTTTGTTTTTTTGAGACAGGGTTTCTCTGTGGTTTTGGAGGCTGTCCTGGAACTCACTCTGTAGACCAGGCTGGTCTCGAACTCACAGAGATCTGCTTGCCTCTGCCTCCTGAGTGCTGGGATTAAAGTCGTGTGCCAACACCAGCTGGCAAAATGTCTTTTAATGATTAGACTCCCCAGTAAATGGAATTTTTTTTTTTTTAAAGTGTAGCATTATGGTTGGACCTGAAGAGCATATTCTCATTTTACTGGGAAGTTTGAATGCACTAGAGTATGCAGTGTTATGTGACTCTAAGCTGCTGCTGAGATGCTTGGTCAGTGTGGCACAGTGCTGAGGAGGAAAGGCCCCCCCAAGGAAAATGAGGAGCATTGGAATCCTGAGGAAATGTGATACTTAAGGAAGTAGTTTGGTACTTAAGAAGATGAGGCAGGAGGATTGTGAGTTTTAAGCCAGCCTGGGCTGTACTGAAAAGAAATATGAATAATGAATTGGGGGCAAGGGCAGTAGCGTCATCATTATGTAGACCATTATCTGTTCATTATGGAGCCCATGTTTCTGTTTGCACTAAGTTTATTCTGTTTACAAGCACAGAAATTGCACCCATAGTCTTCCAGTTAGAAACTCAGACCCTGGGGGCTTAGATATATGGGAAGTAAGTTAATGGCTCAGTGTTTTGGCAGTGGCTTCTTTGGTATGACTGAGGGCTGGATTAGTGGAAAAGGGACGTTGCTTTGTGTCTTCTCTCTGCAGTGGAGTGCTGGTTCCAGGAGGATTTGGTGTTCGGGGAACAGAAGGAAAAATTCAAGCAATTGCCTGGGCTCGGAAACAGAAGAAGCCTTTTTTGGGTAGGGAGCTCTACTGTGCCCTCTTTTGGGAGAAAGAAGAATGAGGAAAGCTGCCAGTGAAGCAAGACATGCACACATTTTTTATTTCTAGAGAGAGGAATTTTCTGGGGGAAATTCAGTTACATTTATTTATGTGTATGTATTTAGACACCTGCCATGGCACACATGTAGAGGTCAGAGGACAACTTGCCAGGGTCTGTTTTCTCCTACTGTTGCCCCAGGAATTGAACTTAGGTTATTAGGCTTGGTGGCAAGCACCTTTACCTACTGAGCCATCTCATTGGCCCTCAGATTCGTAATATGGAAAGTTATGAGCTGTATGTAGATGACAAGGAATTTTGAGAAAGTGGACTTTGGGTAGGAAATGCTGTTCCGTAGTGTATGTGAGGCTGGGCTTTGTGTCCTCCTCACTTGGCAAACCAGCCAATAACTGGGTCAAGTGATTTTTGGATGCTTCCTGTTGCTGCAGATGTAGGTAATTTTCAACTTGATCAACCTGTAAATGAGAACTTACTGAGAAAGGATTAGGAGCTTGGATTTTAAGGTACTGAGTGGAGTTTTGTTTAACTGAGAAGCTTTGCAGAACCCTGAATCTTCACACATAGGTCCTGGTTTTAATTCAGTACAGGAAAAGCTGTGGGTGTTTCTGACATGATCTTAAGCATGCGATTTCCACTCAGGACACAAAAACACTAGCAGGCCGGGGAACCTTAGGAGTTTCACTCTCAGTGGAGATTAACATTGTTTTTCCTTCTCTTGAAAGGTGTGTGCTTAGGAATGCAGCTAGCAGTGGTAGAATTCTCAAGAAATGTGTTGGGGTGGCAAGGTAAGTGCATGTTTAGCAACTGATTACTGGAGGGCCTGACAGCCATTGTGTGCTGCTGGTGGTTGAGAGCTGTGAGCATGCTGCCCGCTTTCTCGGCACACCTCAGTGTTCAGGGAACTAGGCACCTTGTTCATAGTGGTGCGTGAATCCCTCTATATGTGCATGAGGGAGCTCTTGAGTGAGCAGGTCTTTGGCTGTTGCCCCTGCCTTTCTCGTCTCAAGATTCTCACTTTGAACACACTGACCACCACCCAGACAGGTGCCCAGTGAGAAGCCACCCTACTGAAGGGGTTGTGCAGGTCTAGACTTTATCACTAAATAAGGTGGCTTTAGGCAACATAGTCTTTCTGGCTTGTTGGCCTGTAAAATAGGTATCAGAGTGAATCCTACTTGAAAAAATTAGGTGAAGCTGGGTAGTGGCGGTGGTGGCTGCAGCACATGCCTTTAATCCCAGCATTCAGGAGGTAGAGGCAGGTGGATCTCTGAGTTCAAGGTCAGCCAGGGCTACACAGAGAAACCAGGTCTTGAAGAAATAACAAAAGTAGGTGAAATACTATAAACAAATAGTCCCTAGCAGTTCCTGGCAAATGAAAGTGTTCAGATACTCCAGACTGGATGACCATGGGAGACCATCTGAACATCACTTGCTTCTCACAGTTCAGGCTTACTTTTGAGATTGCTACAAAATTAAGCAGCATGTAGGTATGAAAAAGCTGTCTGGCTTATGTAGGGTAAGAACCTGGGCAGCTAGCTTGTGGCCAAGGCTGGGTTTCACCTCATGTCCCTTGGGACCATGACTCCGTGGAATAAGCAGCTTGTCCTTTATTTCTGGTGTCTGAGTCTTTACAAGGACTGTCTGTCCATCACCTAGAGCTGGCTTCTAGGATTCCTGGGGTGCTTTAACAGTTCGAGCTCAAGCTCCTGCCTCCCCCTGGGGTTCCCAATGCCTGGCTTATTCTGGTTTTGGGCCCAGGCAGGGAACAGTATCTTACATTCATACAGAAAGAACCAACACACAGTGCTAGGGACTTTGCCATTTTTACTAGTGGCTTTGCTTATGGTTATATATGATACATTTCATAAAGTATAGAAAGGTTGTTTATGTCCAAATCAGTTAACTTCCCAGCTATTTCAGAGCCTGAGACAGGATCACAGATAGAAGCCTGCATACAGAGTGAGTCCCATGATGACCTGGTCTGTGCAGCAAGACCCTGTCTCAAACTAAAAATGAAAAAAGGGCTGGACATGTGCAAGATCCTGGGTTCAGTTCCAGTGCTGCAAAGAAAAACAACAAATCAGCTAATTCCTAACTTAGCTGAGGATGATAGCATAATAGATGCTGAGGATGGAAGAAAGGTAGAGGGAGCAGTTCTTGTTCATCCTAGAGAATCTATAACAAAATGAAAAGTTAATGTAAAAACTGTTTGACTTTCCAGAAAGTTAAAGATTTGATAGGGCAAATTCACCTGTGTTAAGTTTTATTTTAAAAATGCTGTCCCCTGAAGAAAAGCCATGTGATCATATTTTAACTAAAATTCTTAGTTTTTCTTTTTTTTTTTTTGAGACAAAGTCTTACTATATAACTCTAGTTGGCTTGAAACTCTATGTAGACCAGAACATTAATACAGAGATTCACCTGCTTTTGCCTGCTGAGTGGTGGGGTTAAAGACATATGCCACCACACCTGGCTATTGGTGTTCTATAGTTTTCTAATCATTTATTATTTATTTATTTTTTAGTTTGTGCATATGAGTGCTTGCATGTATGTGTAAGTGCACTCTGCTTGCTTGGTGTCCATGGAGGTCAGATGGCACTGGATCTCCTGGAACTGCAGTTATAGATGCCTGTCAGTTGCTATGTGTGTGCTGGGAATCAAACCTAGGTTGTCTGGAAGAGCAGTGAGTGCTCGTAACTACGTGGTCATTTTTCCCAGCCTGTAATCACTGACTTTAAACTGAAAGATCTTGATTTGATGCTTACCATGAAACTAGTAACAGGTTTTGTTTATAGCTATTTTCATAACTCAATTATTTTAACTTTTCAGATGCCAATTCTACAGAATTTGACCCTAAGACTAGTCATCCTGTGGTGAGTCAAGCATTTGAAGCTCTCAGTACTTAGAAAGAGTGGAAGGACATCTGTGAAACAGGGGATGGTAGACAGGCAGTGAGGCCACTGCGTCCCAAAGTCCCCTCAGACTTCATGACAAGGACATTTTTGAGTTTTCACTTAATTCCTCACCAGTCTTTCCAGGTTACCACAGGAAACCTGTAATAGACAAGTATGATCCCTGCTAGCAAGAGGAGTTAGCTCGAATGGAGGCTTGCTGCATGATAGCCACTTTTCTCATAGTTCATGTTCTCCCTGGTGCCAGTCCTGGAAGGTAGACAGGCTTATGGTTGACAAGCTCAGGGGTGGTGGTTTCTTTAGTGATAAGTGAAGTTGTTCCAGGCTGCAATCCTGCTGCTGTTGAACACCTGGGGGCATGTGACCTAGTTAGCCTGTGATGGTGCTAAGACTCACTGGGGAGGGACAGTGTCTTTGTCTGAATCCCTAGCCCATGAGTGAAAGGCATATTAAGCATTTTCTTTTTCGGTATTCAGCAAATGCTGAGCATTGGCTATGTGTGAGGGACTGTTGTCACTGAGAACACTGTGACAAGGTGGACAAGTTTTTTATCTCAGTGACTTAGTGTCTGTATATTTATTGATCTGAAGTTGGAGTTCTGTTAATGTAAGAATAGTGGGATGAGGGAGTGAAGCATAGGGAAGCCTGGAAGGGTTTGTAAGATACTGAGGCATGTTGTCCCAAGAGGTGAGTTATACCAGATCTCTCTGGGGTGCCACAGTCTACCTGTTCATAGACTTGTTAAAGGCTGTTGGTTTTGTACCCTTTTCTCAGGCCCAGAGAACAGTCTTGTTTGTGTCCATATTGCTGTGCCACAGCACAGAGCCTTTAGCATCCAAAGTGCTAGAGCAGGGAACAGCATCACGAGGCAGGCTGAAGCACTGAACTCCTGCCCGGGAGTGCTCCATTTGGGGAACAAGGTCTGATTCTAACAGCAGAGTGTGGTAGTCAGATTTGTTTTCTGAACATCTCTAGGTCATAGACATGCCAGAACATAACCCTGGGCAGATGGGTGGAACCATGAGGCTGGGCAAGAGAAGAACCCTGTTCCAGACCAAGAACTCAGTCATGAGTAAGTTGTTTCACAGGAGTCTGGCTTTTGTCCTGGTCTGTACAGGACACATGGGCTAGGTGGTGCTGTAGCTCCAAAGAGCCAGGCCAGCCTTTGCTTTGCTTTGATCCTTTTTTTGCATTTCTTTCCTCCTCATGCTTGTTTAGGATGTGCTGTGTTAGGTAGACAGTCTTTGGCAATGCACCTGGACAAGACAGGTCATTAGGTTAGATTCATTGCAATCTGTGTTACTTTCTTATACTAGTAAATAAAACTGTGTGGAATTTGGTAGTTAAAAGAAAAATCACATAGTTTAGTATAAATACATTTTATTCTAGCAAATAATAGTTAAGAACTTATGGGAATTGGAGAAGATCTGAGAAAATTACTCTAGACATTGCCTTGCCCAATGGAAATATTGCTTTAACCATTAGTAGAGGTACCCTATGTCTGTCTGGGGGTTCCAGTGGCAGACTAGTTTGAGAATCACTTGTACCATTTTTAAGTTCTTTCAACTGTGCTGTTCTATGGGTTTGGGGTCTCAGTAGGCAGTGAGTGAGTCAGTAAACACTCCATCTGCACACACTGTGTCTGTTCCTCCAGTCACTAGGTGCCAACCAGCCTTTCATTTCCCTTCCAGACACTATTCTCAGGGAACTGACTCTAGGAGGGCCTGGCCTATTCCTGTGGTGGTTCTCAGTAGCACAGTGCTTTATATTTAGCAGTGGTGTATTCAAGGGAGGTTGTGAAAGTTTGTTCCTGTTATGGTTTGGGCAGAGAGACAGAGCCCCAGGAATTGTCTGAATTCTATCAAAAACAGGTGAATGTGGCTAGCAGAATTTTGGTAGCCTGGTTTGCCCACATAATAGAGTGAATTGGGAAGTTAGTATTTTGCATGGATTGTGTAGGCAGAAGTCATACAAATTGCCTGGTTTTCTGCAGGGAAACTCTATGGAGACATAGACTACTTGGAAGAGAGGCACCGCCACCGATTTGAGGTGAGGATGTGAGCCTACTACTCCTGTTACTCTCTCTTCAAAGAAAGTGGAGAGGCCAGCACAATGAGTTTTCCTGTCCCACCAGGTGAATCCAGTCTTGAAAAAGTGCTTGGAAGAGCAAGGCTTGAAGTTTGTTGGCCAAGATGTTGAAGGCGAGAGGATGGAGATTGTAGAGTTGGAAGGTGACTGTCTGGGTAGTGATAACTTCTTGGTGTGTGGGAAAATAGAAAAATGTGTTACCCAGGTGTGGTGTCACACACCTGCGATTCTCGTACTTGGGGAGCTGGGGGAGGAAGAGGATGAGTTGCAGGCCAGCTGGGGCTAGGACTAGACCTCCTCTCAAGAAAAAGAAAAGCTCTTACTCCTGATGAGGAGGCAGCAGTGTCTGGGGAGCAGCTAGCTTCTGACAGAACTCTAGAGATGGGAGATGCATCCCTAACCATGGCTTCCACAGTAGCCATATAGCCCTGGGCTTGGTTCCTTCCTCAGCATGAAGAGCTGGACTTGGTGCTAAATCCCTTTCAGCTTTCATGTGAACTGTGCTCAACCTGTGCAAGTCACAGAATACTCAGATGGGACTCTATAGAGAGCAGTAGCCTCAGCCGTGAGGTACACAGTGTTGAACAAAGTGTCAGCTCACTCCTGCTTTGGACTTGCCTTTACCCAAAACTGGGTGATAGAGTTACTTTCAGACACTCTTAGGGTTTGTCTCATCTTTGGATGCACAGAATACTAATTGTTCCTTCTGAATTTCTGTTGCAGGTCACCCATTCTTCATTGGGGTGCAGTACCACCCTGAGTTCCTGTCAAGGCCTATCAAGCCCTCCCCGCCCTACTTTGGCCTCCTTTTGGCCTCTGTCGGGAGGCTCACACACTACTTACAGAAAGGTTGCCGGCTCTCACCCAGGTAGGGATACTAATCACAGTGAGGCTCTACATAGTCCTAAGAAAAAGCCAGGTTGCAGGCCTGGTCCTTGTGTAGGTAAAGGTTCTCATCCTTTCCCTGGGTTTTTTTAGGCTTCTCCTTTCTTACTGACCAGGCCTAATCTCTAGTTTCTGGGTTCTGGTAATACTGCTCTGCAGATCCTGTCCATGGCAAGTGGATCACGACCAGGTGGGCTTATGCCCAATTACTTGTTTTATCTGAAACTGGTTTCTTTGAGTAGGTGGCTAGTAATCAGGGGGAGGGGATGTATCTCTTGGAACTAGAGGAAGGAAATCCCTCCACAGCCTCCCATGTGTGGTAGAGATATTTGTTGTGTGTGGATACACACTGCTGTATAACAGTGGTTACAAAGATGGGTAAGTAAAGTGAGTGTGTGCTGGGAGATGAGTAAACCTTCTGAATTCCACAGGGACACTTACAGTGACAGAAGCGGGAGCAGCTCCCCCGATTCTGAAATCACCGAACTGAAGTTTCCATCAATAAATCAGGACTGATCTGGTAAGTGACATTTTTAAGGTTTATTAAAAAAAGAAAAAGTGGTAATTGTCTCTCAGAGCTCACTGGCCAGTCAGCCTGGCTGTATTGGTGAACTGTAGAGAGTCTTTGGGAAATTCTCAAAAAGTAAGCTGGAGAGTGACAGTTGTGCACATAGAAGTGCACATACAGATCCCTATACTCACACTCCCTCCACACTCACAGGCATTGGTCAATTGTTGGGAGTTGCCTGCTCCTCAGCAGCCTTGAAACAGGCTGCTGCTGTGGACAGTGCTTGCATCTGCCTGAGCACAGCATAGAGGCTGCTGCAGGCCTTGATGCTGTGTGGTTCTGTGGAATTGCAAATACAGGCTTCTGCAGTTCCCACAGGAACAGGACTCGTGCCTGTGGTGACTGGCAGCTGACCAAGTTCTGACACTTCTCTAATAAACATCATGTAATTCTAGCCTTTTTTTTTTGTTTTTTAAACAGGATGATTCTTCAAGAAAGCCTTTGACCTGATAGTTTACAACTATGATTTTACACTCTGCTTTTGACACTTCCTTTAAATTATGTTTTTATTAAGATTATTTTATTATGGGGGGAAAGGTATTTGAAAAACTTTGTCACTTGCATGTCCTAGCATTTATATTGGATCCTGCAACATACCTGTTTGTGAGACAATTCCTTTGCAGTTTGTTTGTTTCTGACATGGGAAGGACGACTCTGGATGTGACCTTATGGTGACCAGCGACTGGATGAAGGCCATCAGCCACCTTGTTTTTCCAACTACTTGAGTCACTGTCATCCATTATTTCCCTGGGGTGCCAGTACTTTCAGTCCTGGGCTGCTAACTGTGGGTGTTGCTGGAATCTCAGGGCTGCTTGAGTTGTGGGGAACTCTTGGTGCCAGCTGTGGTTGGCCCTGGCTATCCAGAGGGATGTTTGGTTCTTTTGTACATCAGACAAGCTCTATGAAGTGTCACATAAAACCCCCCCCCGGGATGCTGGCAGCATTTCCTGTTCTTGGGGCTGAGAACACTCCTTGCATCAAGGGGTCAAGAAACAAGGAATCTTGGAAACTAGTTCTGATGCCCTCTCCTGTGTATGCAGCATTGATTTGGGGGTCTTTTTTTCTTCCAGAACGGTGTTATTGCAGTTGAAATGCAATTCGAAAAGTTATTTTCTTAATGTGACACAGCAATGGGCATGGCCACATGCCTATACTATGGTGGCAGGCTCAATGTATGCTCCTAACTTAATAAATAATGCAGAACCATTGGTATGCTTTCTCATTTTGTCACTCGCTGGGGTGCTTGCTTTTCCATGGGCACTGAGTTTCAATGCTGGGCTGCTCCTGAGCCAGCAAGCTGATCTTTATATCAAATTAAGCTGCAAGCCTTCTTAGCAACCAGAATTTCTCAGCAAGGCTTTAGTTTGTCATGATATATCATATGCCAAGGGATTAAGAGCAAATTACTGCTGTGTGCTACTTAACAGGGAAAAGAGGCACCATGGGCTGCCTGGATAGGGTCCTTTGTCCACTACAGACAGCACTTCTCACATGGAGGCAGACAGCTGACCATGGGCTGTTTTAACCAACGGGTCTGCTTTCTCTCCCACTTTGTAATCATTTTTCATCTCTAGAGTTGAGCTCAGAAGTTTAAGGTCACAGGGATAGGGTTCTTTCCAAAGTCAATTGGGTGGTGGTGACATTAGCATTCATTCACTCTCAGGCTGCAGGCCTGACAATGTATAGGTGGTATCATCCTTCACTTGCTACCACGGAGCCTCGGGGAAAGAATATGTGTCTCACTAGTTATCCAAGCCCCTACCTCAGACTTCTCTCTCATTCCCTGGTCCAGTGTCACTGTCACCCTTGAGGCCTGATCAAAAGCATCTGGCCTTTCCCTTATTTCTCAGTGAGCTCACACGTTTACTTCTGTATAGATCCTGTCTGGATTGTGGCTGATTGTACTTCTAACCTCCTACCTACCTAATGATCCCAGAGGGACCACTGCTGTTACTGCAACAGTGAGGGCTTGGCTGGGTGTGGAGTGTTTTGGAAGAGCTGTTTCTGATATTTCTCTCCTGATGAAGATGGCCTCACTATTGAACAGTTGCCACATGCCAGCTACCCTTATAACCTGTCAGCAAAAGGAATCCCCACATGGCTCCCCATGGTTTGTCATGGATGGTGCTGGAAGGCAGCCTTTCATGTCCAATGACTACCCGGGCTCAGAGGCTTCTCCCTAGCAGGAGGAAATCTGCCAGGCTTCTGTCCTTGGCGTGCTCACCTCAGACCTAGGGGACAAGGGCAGGTAGCAGCTGTGTTCTCTTTGACTACCTGCCTTAGAGAAACCAGCTTTCAGAGCAAGTTCTTCTGAGGATGCTGCCACCTGGACAGCATGGTGCTTGGCACATGGGTTGGTGATACCCAGAAATATTCTCTGCCTTCTTGAGCATTGACATTATCTTTACATTCATTTATTTAATTATCCTGGGGCTAGAACCCATGGTTTTACTCAAGCTACTAAGTGAAATGCTCTACCATCGAGGCACAACTCAGCCTCAGCAGCACATTCTTTGTGTAGTCCTGTGGACACCAGTGTGTGGGCAAAGGGAATCTGGTGATCTGTCTGGAGCATTTATGATCATGTTTGGTCCCTGGCAACATTGTGAGTCCTGGCAGGGGTTGTATCCTGTTTGATATTTGGGAAAATCAGGTCTTAAGTGGTGAGTGGTCCAGGGTGTGTTCAGTAGCCGGTGAATGGGGCATGGGAACTGAATTTTCAAAATTTGTCCATACACAGGTATCAAAGAGGATACAACGCCTGCCAGCACTCACAGTGCTTTCCTCTTTGATTCCTACTCTGAATGTAGCTAAGGCCCTCAAGAAAAAAGGGAGAGCCAATAACTACATACTTTCATGGCAGCCCTTGTCTTAGGAAATGCTATTTGTCATTACTCCATGATCATCTGGTAACTGAAAGCCCAACTTTAAGAGTATCCTTGATTGCTTCATTAGGGAATTACTAGGCACCTATCACATACCTACGTGTGTTCTGAACACAGACCATATAATATCCCTTACTTGGAGTGTGTACTTTAGTGGGAGAAACTATGGTATTGCTATGGAGAGGGGGTAAAATGTCAGCTGAACATAGTTGCTCCTTCCTGTAATCCCAGCACCTTGGCAGTGGCAGGGGTGCCACAAGACCAAGGCCAGCCTGGAGGGGAAGCTAAGTTCTGCAGCTCTGAGAGGAGGATTCTAGGCAGGGGAACACCCAGTGTAGAGATGGGGTGAGGTGGTTGCTGCCCATGCATGACTGTAAGGGGAAGCAGGAGGAGCTAGCACAGCTGGCTTTCTTGTGACGAATGGATGTGGACAGGCAAGTGGGGCAGGATCCAGCTTTTGATTTAGTGCCAGTTAGTGGGGAGCAATGATCCTGTGGCTAGACTCCTGTGAAAGTCTGTTCTGCCATAGCCAGCAGATACCAGATACTACATGATGGTGACAAAATGCCCCTTGCCCACTGTCACGGTCTCACTGGTGACAAGACTGTTGCCTCAAGTGCTGAGTCTTCGGGCAGAGCTGCAGTGGATGCTGAGTGGCCGCAGTACTGTGGTATCAGAATAGGCTCCGCCTCCTGAGCAATGTGGGCTGGGCATGAGACTTGTGATGCAGCAGCCTCTGGCTGGCTCACCAAGTGTCTTAGATGTAACTAAACGTTCTTGTGCATTCATTGTGTAAGGAGCAATGACAAACAAGATAGTGTAAGAGCTGCAGGGTGGCCCATGCCCTATAGCTAATTACAAAATAGGTCTTGCTAGCTGCAAGTGTCCTTTCCAAGTTGACAAATTTCCTAGCCTGATAAATTGGCTTAGGCAAAAGGTGCATGTGTTTGGGATAGAGTTACAGTCCCTTGGAGCTCAGTTCTAGAATGACTAGCCAAGTTTTCTGAAAGCAGGGCTCCTTGGGGGTGTGCCGAGAGCTGATGATCAGCATGCTCTGCTGCACATGCAATGCTGAAGGAGAGGCGGTGGCCCATGCATGTTTTATTCCAGGCCTTAGCCCACATCTTCCTCATCCTCACAGGACACAGCAGCTGCAGGACAGGGACCGTTGCTGCCTCAGCTGCTCCTGAAGCTGCTCCTTTTCCACCGTCAGCACCTTCACCTTTTCCTCCAGCTTGCCCAGCTCCATCGTCCACTTCTGAGAGAACAGTGTGGCAGTAGGTATCGAGCTGCCATTGTCCAAGCCATCTTCTTTCCTGGCATGGGCCGTATAGCCTGGGGGCCCTGGTCATGCTGCTGCCTCTGACCAAGGGTCTTGAAGTTGCCTGTGTACCATCCACTGGGATGGGGCCCCTTTGCATCCTCCCAAAGACTGGCAGAGAACCTGATCACAACCCTGACCACATCTCCAGTGCCAGCTCCCTTGCCCTCTGCTTTTCTACCATCTGGTGGTTCCCTCATAGAAAAGACTTCACTTTGGGACTCAGTCCAGCCCTGCTCTGCCCCCTCACCAGGCTCTACCCAGGTACAGTGCATAATACCACTTGACGTTTCCTTGTAACACCTCAGTGGTCTGATCTCCCTGATTCCCTGGCCCTTCAACAACATAATGACCGAACTGCTGAGGCAGGGTGGCTGGGGCTGTGTTCTGTGGGATGGGGTACAGGTTTTAAAACAACTGCTAGGACTCTGGCTACTGAAGTATAAGATTTGGGGAAAGGCAGAGTTCCTTCCATCCAAGTCCTCCCTTCTTCAGGCTTGCCCAGCACTTTGGGGTCAATGGTTGGAGGGGTCTGAGTCAGCTTGACCCTAGCCCACCTAGCCAGAGCCTCCTCACCTGCCTGCACCAGTCCTGGATGGCGCCAACAGACAGTGGGCCCTGGATGCTTCCATCACGCCGTAGAAATACCTCCCCTTGATCTGTCTCATATAGTTGTGGCTCACCCTGAGCCTTGGGAGTGTGCACAGTCAGACGGAGTACCTTAGCAGGGGCAACAGCAACTCAGAGGGTGCCACACCTGATGGTGGCAGCCCCACACTTTAGCACCCAGAAGCCTGGTGGGCTCACTGCTACCCACCCCTAGGCCATTCAGCAATGTCACAAGGCAATCACATTGTTCTGAGGACAGATACCAGTAGCTCACCTTGAGAGGCATGTTGGCCGTGGAAGTGCTTATGACGGGGATGAAGGTGAGGGTGTACGCATCAGGGAAGACTTGGGGTTTGAAGCCCTGCAGGATGGAGTCCACCAGCAGGCGTGTACGGTCCTCATCGCGGTGGCTACAGTGAATGCCCTGAACCAGGCCACTGTCCTCGACACCTACCAGCAGACTGCCACCCTCGCTGTTGAGAAAGGCACATACGTAGCGCCGTACATGGTGCTTGAAAGCCAGGCTCAGGTACTCACCGCTGCCTCGCTTAAACTCCACATTCCGTGTCTCGCTGCCAAGGAAGGCACCCTGGAATAGCTGCTCCTGTCCCAAGATCTCCTGGTGCACAATGGCACTGTCAGAGCGCACACCACTGGGTCGGTTCTGAGAGATCTGCCGACGCCCAGCCCAGCACCAGTTAGGGGAAGGATCTGGCCATTGGAGCAGCTGTGGACGTCTGAAGCCTGGACTGGGGCCAGGGCTGGGGCTGGGACTTGGGCCACTGTCATCCTGCTGGGGTGGGGGATCAAGAGTGGGTGTACAGGCAAAGACAAGGCAGGGGACCCTAACCTAAGAGACTGCCAGCCCTCACCCCCACCCCGACCTCCACCATTAGTAGTCCTCTCCAAGGCTGAGGGCCCAGTTCTGTATGTGCGCAAAAGTCAGTGCCCAAGCCAGTTCTTGGGTTGGGCTCTTACTTGGCACCTGCTGTAGGACGTCTGGGTGAGTAAAGAGATTGCCTTTTGGAGCTGGAAGACAACACACCTGTGGGCAAGCCTTCTCCACTTGGAGTGCTTAATAGGCCCCAGGCCCAGATTGTTCCCAGGAGGCATCCTGGTACCCTGCAGTCCTCTGGTGGAACTGCAGGTCTCAGAACTGAGGGACTCTACCCCCTCTTTATTGTCCCTGGAATGTCTGCCAGCTACTTCCTGGCCAATGAAAAGTCCCCTGGATCTTAGCTTTCTTCTGCCCTTCCTGAGTCCTATGGCTTCTGCTTTGTCTCTAGGGCTCTGGGCATTTTGTTTCTGCATGGCAACTTCTTTAGGGTCTTGACAGCCCATCAGCTTCCTCTTCCCATCCTCTCAGTAGCTCTAAATGCCAGTCCAAGGGCCACTCCCATTTCCCAGCAGCCTTCACCTCTCAGGGCTGGAGACTCAGCTGGGCTGCTAGTGGAGATGGACAGACGCTAGTAGCCCAGCAGCTCCCCAGAGAAGATGAACTTAGCCTCAGAAACATAATAGAACTGACACAAACAGGTGCACATGCACCAACGGGATCTCATGGGCTTGCCCTCTGGACAGAAGACCAGGGACATGGGTAGCATAAGCTTTCAGCCCCAACAAAACTGGTCCAGACCCTGCTTTGCTATAAATCATGACAGCTGTAGTAATCTGGACTCACCCTCTGGCCCAGCTTCTTCCTCAGCTGCCTCTGTGGCCTCCAGACTCAGCTCCAGAGACCCTGTTCTATATCACTACCTGGACATCTTTTCTTGGAGTGCCTTCTGTGCTCTGTAAGTCCTAAGCTTGGATTTCTGGTCCCCTGTAAATTTGTGCCCAGTGGGAAGTGAGGGCTTGCCTGCTCTCCCACCGCCACCCCAACGTTGAGACTGGCAGAGATGGTTCTGCTCTTGGAGGGCTTGACAAGGTGGCATGGGTTGCCTGCTTCAGCCTTGCTTCTGGTACAATATAGGTAGGTGTTTGCCAATAGAACGAATGAGGTGGCACAGGGAGAAAACCAGGACTTGGTATGTCCTGGGCCTCCTAAACCTGACTGGAATGCAAAAATTAGTCTCCCTGTGAGAAGAGGGGCCAGCCATTTGAGTCACATCCCCAGGTGTGCAGTGCCCATGCCATTCACACTAGTCTCTTCCTTGGCAGGCCTTTCAGAGCACACTTGGGTAAACAGCATGTACTTACCTCCCTGCGGCTTAGGGACTCCAAGCCCTCACTCAACACCAGCTCCTTGCCACGGGCTGTGAGCTCTTTGAGAATTAGCTGCTCCTCCAAGGCCATTTGCAGGCGCCAGGGGAGTGAGGCCAGGACATCTTTGGGGGCAGCCACCCGAACCAGTGCATAAGTGTTTTTTGGCCGCCTCACTATCTCAATGTGTTCACGGGCCACTGGTAGCTCCAGCCGCTCTAGGGTGTCTCGTAGGAGGCAGGCAAGCACTGGAACAGAGAACTGGGGGTTCAGGTGGCCTACATAAAGAGTATGTGTGCTGGGAACTGCCTTGAGGCCGGAGTCCTCAGGTGTGGGCTCCTTTCGAGGCAGCTCTAGCAGGAGCTGCTTGCCCTGGGACTCCACAGAGGACTCCCACATCTGTGTCTGTACTGATTTCTTCCTGAGGGTCATGGCGGTCTTCCTCAGAAGGGATTTTGGTAGTCCTCACTGCTGAATGCTCTTTCTGGGCCTGGCTCTCAGACTGGCCAGGGCTTCCCAATGGACTCACAGGTACTGAGGCTTCTGGAAGCTTCTAGACTGGCAGAGGCTAGGCAGGATCAGAAAGAAAGGAGGGCAGAGGGCCAGTAGCTCCCCTTGGTGCCTAGGGTAAGCCAATGGGCCTGAGCCCGGCTTCTGGGCCTGCGGGGGGGGGGGGGGGATTAGATAAGGGACTTGTCTGGAGGGCTAGGTGGGACCTATGAGTCCTCCATAGGCACCCTCTAGGTGCCTTCCTTGTCATGACTCCTCAACCTATGTTTAGGACCTCCTAGTGTCACTGGGGAATTCTCACATCTAGAAGGTTCTTAAAGTATGTAGGCCCTCAGAGACCAAACTCTCAGGGCTGGTCAGTGGCCACATCACTGTGTCTTATCTATTTTAAAACCTGCCGGGAGGCTAGTATGGGTCATTGAAACTATTTAGGATTGGGTTGGCAAGTTCTTGGGGATTTGACACACTGACAACAGCTACAGTCTCTCCCCATATAAAGGGCCTTTGCATATATACATAAAACTTGAAGCCAGGTGGTGGTGGTGCACACCTTTAATCCCAGCTTGGTGGGCAGAGGCAGAGGCAGGAGGATCTCTGTGAGTTCCAGGACAGCCAGGACTACAAAGAGAGATCCTGTCTTGAAAAACCAACCAACCAACCAACCAAACCAACCAAATACAAACAAATTCAATTTGAGGTGCCTCAGGAACTAGAACTCAGTTGTATGTCACCCTAGGCTTGGGAGCTCATTTACAATCGGTTCCACGGGTCCTCCACTCACCCCCATACCCCAGCCTCCATCTTGGGTGGCAAGTACCACCAGCCTGCATCTTTCCAGATTGGATTCCTGAGGTGGTCAGAGTCTGAGAGCCACCACAGCTGCAGTGGGGGCATTCAGGGCAAGCAGGAAGAGGAGCAAAGAGGAGGCCTATGATCTTCATGTCCTGCTAGTTCCTGTGGGGGATGGGAGGTGCTAGCCCTAAGCTCCCACAGCTCCATGGCCCAGGATACTTAGGACTTGGCATGGAGGCACAGAGCACCAGGGTCTAGGAAGTGGGCGGGGCCTTCACACTGGCCTCTGTGATCTCATGAAGGTCAACAATGCCTTCTGGTTCAGCCACAGGCTTTAGCAAGCAGGGTTGAGGGATGCTGAGTAAGGATGGTCCTCAACTACCATAGTCTCTGGTAGACACTATAAGCAGACACAGTTTGGCCATGGTGGCCCTTGGAACAGCTTCTAGAATTGAGGGCCCAAAGCTGCTGCTTCCCTCTATATCACCTCTTCAGACCCCCAGTGCTCACACAACCCACTAGTTACCACCTTTATGGACCTGCTGTCTAAAGGCTCCACCCCCTTTGTCCCCAGTCCCAAGCTCCAGTGAGTGCTGGCAGTGATCCTGCTCCCAGGGTCAAACAAAATGTACATGGTGGGGTCCAGGGCTCCCTTGATACAACAGCCCTTTCTGTGCCAAAGAGACATCTCTTGTTAGAGATTATTATCTAGAAGGGTTTGAAAACCAGCTAGGCTTGGGTGACATGTAGCCTCTGCCAGTTCCTTGAGGGCAAGGCTTAGCTTAGGTAATTTTTTTTCTTTCCCTAAGACAGGGTTTCTCTGTGTAACCTTGGCAGTACTGGAATGTGCCCTGAAGACCAGTCTAGCCTGAAACTTAAGACAATCTGCCTGCTTTTGCCTTTTGAGTGCCGGGATTAAAGGCGTGCACCACCACTACTTGGAAAAATTTATTTTTATGTGCATTGCTGTTTTACCTGCATGTTTGTCTTTATGAGGGTGTTGGATCCCCTAGAACTAGAGTTAGACAGTTGTGAACTCCTGTGTGGGTGCTGGGAATTGAACCTGGATCCTCTTGAAGAGCAGCCAGTGCTCTTAACTGCTAGAGCCGTCTCTCCAGCCCCAAGTGCCTTTATTATTACTAGAAAACTGATTTATCACTATGTATGCTACTTGGGGGAGGGAGCATGTGTGGAGGTCAGAGGACAATTGGAACTGGTTCCCTCCCTCCTGGGAGTTTTTGGGACCAAATGCAGGTCTCAAGACTTGCACAGAAACACCTTTACTGACTGAGTCTTCTTGTTGGCTCTCAGGTAAAGACTTCCTTACACACGCTACATTCCTGGTAGCTCTTATTACTGGGAGCAAGGAGGAGACCTTCACTCAAGTAGCTGTTGGCCTTCCTGTGGGCCATTTTGAAGGCATGCCTGAACTTTTGTTGCATGTAGGATTGGAGGCAGAAGCTTGGACAGGGAACTTGAGAGAAATAAGACAATGGTGTACAGACAGGAAGGAAGAGGCCCAGCCCCACAGGGTGGCTGAATGAAGCTGAAGTCCTGGCAGGTGCTAAATCTCTCACCCCTGAGCCACACCTGTGCCCGCTGTCCCATAGCTCTGAGGCACCCAGCAACAGTAAAGCTCAGTGTGCTCCCTGGCTGTTGCCTCAGGTTGTCCTGTCCTACACTGCGGCTCTGGACAGCCTTCATCTTCTGTAAACCTGTTCCCGTTGTAAGCCAACAGGCTGTGTGACCCTGGGCTTGGGTTCCAGGTCCTGGTCAGTGTGCTGGGTACCGTGAAGGCCTGTATTGCCTCTCTTCTCACCTCACGAGGAGGATAAAGCAGCCTACTGAGGCTTCTGGGAGTTGCTAGCCCTTGGGTTGCCTCTAACTTAATGAAGCTGTAGTGCTAACAACTGTCTAACTGACAGAGGAAAGCAGCTTGGGCAGAGACTGAGGCCTGCAAGGTGCTGGGTGCTGTGGGCACTTGGACCATGGGACTAGAAGAGTTCCTAGGGATAATCTGGCTAAGGCTCCTTGTTTTAAATGTGTGAACACCAAGACCAAGTGAAGGGACAACCTTCTTGCTGAGAAATTTGGATGCCAATTGGTTAAAAAGACACGGGCATTTGCACGTTTATTTATTTATAAACAAACTGACATAAAATAGTTGGGATGGCAGTGGGGGCAGCAGCGCTGCCAACTTGCTCGGGAGGAAGCACAGGAGCTAGCAGAGGGCAACCCTCCAGCCTAGAGGCCTCCCTCCCACCACGGGGCCCGTGGCCTACAGGCATTAGGCCCCATCTTTTGCAGCAATTCTGACCAGGGCAAGGGAGCTGTGATGCGGGCAGGGTGGTGGGAAAATTCCATCAGAGACAGAGACTGGGGCTACAAAGGGCCTGGTGTACGAAGAGGGAGCCTCACCTTTCCACGCCCAGTAAGCCATATACCTCTGTCCATCCCACAGAGAAAGAGCCCGAGGGCAGTGTCCACACTTCTCTGGAGAGGCCCTCTCTGGACCACAGAGTGGTCTCCTTTTTCCCAAAAATGTCTGGTGCAAGAAAAGCATTAAGTCCAAGTGCCAGAAGCAATAAATTAGCAACAAGAAAATATCTTTTTAAAAAAGGTCTGCACCATAAGTTCAGAGTCTGGGGATCTGGTGAGAAGGCATGGCTGGAGCCATGGACACTATACGAAGACCAGGAGGTGGTAAGACCCTAGAGCTGGCCTCTTCCTCCATCTCTGCAAGGTGCTCAGTCTAAACGTCCTGTGAGCGGCTTGGCTAGCCTTGAGAAATAAATAGAAGGGCCTGGGAGCCCCAGCAGGCTAAGGGGGAAGAGCAGCAGCAGCCCTGGGCCCACATTCTTCCCTCCTCAGCCCTTCATGGAAGGACACATCGTGGGTAGCAGTGGTGGTTCTCCAGCCTCCTGGAGTCCTGAGGTCACCCAGAGCCTACGGAGCTGCCTGGGAGCTGGCTGGTGGCGTCCGGGGAGAAGAGTGCCTCCTGTTCAGTACTTGCCCTGCTTCAGCCGGTCAATGTGAAAGGAAAGCTTGAGGGCGGGCCCCAGCTTCAAGCCCATGTACTTCATCATCACGTCACTGCGCAGCAGGAGCAGGGCCTTGCCATCGATCTCCTGGGGGTGGGGAGGAGCCATCAGATGTCTGCTTGGTCTGACTGCCTCAGGTGCCATCAAAGATGACCCAGAGCAGTGCGAGGCACATAGTGCAGTCAGGCTGCTGGGACCCCGAAGCCTGCCGGCTCTTCTCCCTGGCACTCTGAGGACTTCTCCCTGTAGGCAGGCACTATAGGACATGCTCCTTCCACCTTGCTCTTCTCTGCTGCTTTCCTGTGCTAAGCCTCTGAGAAGCCTTGCAGCGAGTGTGCAGGCTCTGTGGACATCTAGCCTCAAGATGCACTGTACACTGAGCCCAAAGTGAACCTCTTGGGGGTAGTGGTGACCTTAAGCCTGCTTTGAAGCCCTTTCAAACCCACCTACCTAAAAGATTTCCATTGTCAGTGACAGGGCAGACTTTGTAACCACAGAAAGGATGGCGCCAAGCAGCACAGAGGCAGGGGAATGGGGTGTGGTTAGAGCAGGAGGGAAAGACCAATGCCTTGCCAGGAAACTAAACGGTCTCTTGAAGGGAGCACTGGGCTCACAGATAGGTCAGCAGAGGAGAGGGGCTGGTGACAAGGAGGCAGAGGCTACTTGCAAAGGATTCCTTAACTTCCAAAGCAGATGGGGCAAAGCACCCTTGGGAAAAGAGATAGATGACCCCTGTAACCTAGAACTGAGCCCAGACCACAAAACAGCAGGAATCTGGCTCAATGAGAGCCCATGTTAAGAGAGTGAGGTAAACACAGTGCTCAGTGGTCTCTGCTTGAGACAGCATCATTTATGTTGTTTCAATGGACAGAACAGATAGCCAGGCCCTCTAAGATTGAGAGGTTGCCACATACACAGGAGTCAGACAGAGGCACCTACGTGTTTCCGGAAGAGGTCAGCATGGGGTCCGAGCTGAGGGTCTGCTTCCCGGACAAACTGCATCACATCCTCCACCGTCCATGAAGAAGGGTCCCGACCACTCAGGCGAGGGGTATCTCGGCTCTCCAGATACCGATCTGACCCTGAAGGACAGAAGGGCACCTACCATAATGCATGAAGTGACTGCTGGTCCATCCCCACTAGTCTCCTGCACACTCCATGGCCTCAGAGGTGATGCTCCCAGCAACATTGAAGTGGTGAATGACTGGAGGTTGTCCACTGAGAGAATCCACATTTCATTCTGTAATGCAGGCCTGGCTTTTGGGAATTTTACACTGGGGGCAGTGAATTACACTAAACCCGAGGAAGGCACCTGGGTTTGGTGGTAGGGCAGGAAGGAGTGGGCATTTATTTTACCTTGGCTTTGGGGATCAAATAAATAGCAGTACTTGAGTGAAACTAGAGCCAATCCTTTGGGGACTAGAGATAAAACAGATAAAGCATACTCAGTCCTCTCCTGAGGCTTGGAAAATAAGTGGCTTCCTTACAGTCTCATGTATGAGGGCAAAAACTGTTTCTGCCTCTACCCAGAATCTCAGTATTAATTTAGGGCCCTGTTTATAGGGTTGTTTGTTTGTTTTATCTCAATCGTGGTTGAAACACAGCTCTTCTGTTTCCCCTGTGTGATTTGGGATCTGATTATTCTGGCCATTCACCATTGTAGACCCCTTGCACATGTATTCCCTCTGCCTTCCTTTCATCCTCTTCCTCCAGTTTCTCCACTTCTTCAGACAAACTCCAGCTTAGCTAAGGTGGTCTTGGCTCCAAGGACCAGATCCTTTTTGTTTCAATGCTGAAATGAACGGTCCCTCAAAGCTTTTCTTGTAGTGATTACAACCTGTTCTGTAGACAGTTGGTTGCTCCAACTGTGTATGAGAAGGCTCGCTTCCACGATCTGGTGAGAATAGGTGTTTAGGACAAGGAGAGAATCTTGGTAATAGTTGAGGCAACGGACAACCACAAAAAGCACCACCGAGGTATTTAGGAAAGCAGACGCATAGAGCAGTCCTCTACAAGTAGAAGACCTCCCGCTATTCTCAGCTCCTGGATCTCTAAAGCAGCCCTTGGAGGAGGCACCAACACCATCTTCAGCACAGAAAGGTGGGAATTGAAGCCAGGGAGGTGAGGTGACTAGCGACCACCACCCAGCTAGGAAGGAGAAGTTAGTGCCTTATCCTTGACTTGTCCTGTCCTCTTTCTGTAGACAGTGGACCTCAGGATCCCTATCTCTACACTCAGGGAAGGCCGGCTGTCTCAGTCTGAGGATGAGTGAGTGGGTCATGCAGAGAGCATCAACAAGAAGCCATGTTAGCACACTTGTACCTTGCCCTCTGTATTAAAGACACAAGAAGGGGCATAGACGCAAATTCTTAAGTTTATGAACCAAGCAATCTAGAACTCATCAAATAGAATCCTTAGAGGTTCTTCATGGACAAGGGAGCTTTGAGTATGACCTGGAACAGAGACTCAGGATGTGTTTAAAGAGGGGAGAGCTGAGACTTCAGAGCCAGTAGGAGAGACAGCCCATCACAATGCATCCCTACCAGAACCAGACCTTGCCTTGGCAGAGATGGAAATCACAG